TCCCTCCTCTCTCTCTCTCTCTCTCTTTCTATCTCTCCATCTCTCCCGTCCATGGCCCGCGATACCCCCTCGAGTCCCTAACCCGCTCCCCCCCCCCTCGCCCGCTCGCTCGCTTGCCCGCCCGCTGTCGCTACAGAAAGCCCAACCCAGAAGCAGAGCCGCCCGGGAAATTTAGCGAGCCTCAGCCAGCGCCAGCGCCAGCTCCGCCTGCCCTGCCCGCCCCAACCCAGACCGCCCTCGCAGCATTCACATACACATACACATACACAACACGCACACGTACACATCCACGGCCGCTGCACCCAGCTTCGCTGCTCTCCCCAGACGGCAGCCGCGCCCTCTTCCCAACGGTGCCACGCACGCTTTTAGATGCGACGGCGCTCGTCTGCCGACCCCAGCCAAGAGCTCCTCGACGCCCACTCCACCGCCGCCGCCCATTCGTCCGCCCCATCTTCGGAACATGACGATAACCTCGACGCCCACTCCGAGCCATTGCAACTAAAGGCCCCCGTCCGTGTCGACAGCAAGGCGGGCGACCACGAAGCCTACCGCCCCGGACACGCCGCTTCCCCACGCACGCCGCTGCACCTTCGCATGGCGCACCGCGAAGCAAATGGCCACATGGTGCCGCTGGCCAAGGACATCATGCCTCCGAGCCCCGCCAACACGCACAACAGCAAGTGGCGCCAGCGCCTGCGCAATCCCTGGGCCTGCTCGCTCGCCACCCTCTTGACCACGCTGGCTGCCATGGCCGCCATGGCCCTCATGGCCCAGTCCTTCCTCACCCGCCAGCAAGACGTCAAGGGCTGCGGCATGTCGTATATGCGCCCCACGTACTCGCGCTTCAGCCAATTCGACACAGAACACACGCGATTTGCAACAAAATACTCGCTGTATCTGTATCGGGAAGGTAGCTTGGACGAAGATACCAGGGCACGTCACGTCACCTGCTCTCCCCCCTCCAACGTCAAGCCGTGCTGACAAATACCAGGTCAAGGGCGTCCCCGTCCTCTTTATCCCTGGAAATGCAGGCAGCTACAAGCAAGTGCGCTCTCTCGCTGCCGAGGCTGCCTACCACTACCACAACAATGTGCAGCACGATGTGGATGCCGGCAAGGCGGGCAAGCGTCCGCTGGACTTCTTCTCCGTCGACTTCAACGAGGACATTACCGCATTCCACGGCCAAACCCTGCTGGACCAGGCCGAATATCTCAACGATGCCATAACCTACATCTTGTCGCTCTACCACACCCCGGGCAAATTTCTTCGCGACTCGTCGCTGCCAGACCCTACGTCAGTCATCATTGTCGGACATTCCATGGGCGGCATTGTCGCCCGCACCATGCTCACCATGCCCAATTACCAGGCCAATTCAATCAACACCATCATTACGCTCGCCGCACCCCATGCTCGCCCCCCGGTGTCGTTTGACGGGGATATCGTCCGTACCTACCAGGGTGTCAACGACTACTGGCGACGCGCGTACTCGCAAAAGTGGGCCATTGACAACCCCCTCTGGCACGTAACGCTCATTTCCATTGCCGGGGGCAGTCTGGACACGATGATTTCGTCCGACTACACGAGCATCGCCTCGTTGGTCCCCGAGACACACGGCTTTACCGTCTTCTCAACCTCGATGCCCAATGTCTGGACCGGCATTGATCACTTGGCCATCACCTGGTGTGATCAGCACAGAAAGGCTGTCGTGCGCGCCCTGTACGACGTCATCGATGTGTCTCGCGCGACGCAAACTGTACCACGTGCCGAGCGAATGCGCGGTTTCAAAAAATGGTTTCTGACAGGCCTCGAGGACGCGGCCGAAAAGACGTTGCCACATGAGGAAGCCAAGACGCTGCTCACGCTCGAGGCAAATAGTGCTATTGTCTCGGAAGGCGAGCGACTGGTGCTGCGTAGCCTGGGGAAATCAAAACGCCGGCCCAACGCACACCTGATGCCCGTGCCGCCTCAAGCACAGGGCAAAAAGTTCACGTTGCTCACAAATGAACAGCTCGACCAACCGGGCAGTCACGGCATCCTCGAGGTGCTGTTTTGCAGCGTCTTTCCCTCGCAGCCAGGACAGTCGACGACGCTCTTCTCCATGAACATGGACCTTTCGGGCGACAGCTCGGGCGCTACTCGCCTTGCTTGCAAGAACGCTGCATCGGATGTAATTACTCTTCCGGCATCGACTCGCTACTCGACACAGCCGTTTGAGACGGAGCGCCCGTTTTCCTACCTCCAATACGACATGGAACATCTTGCCGAACACCAGTTTGTGGCCGTCATCGACAAAGCTGGCGAGCAGAGCTCCGGCTGGGTAGTGGCTGAATTCAGCTCTGCTTTTGATTCTCAAATCCATGTCGACATGGGCCTGCAGCGCCTGCTGACGACTGGCCTTTCGCTTCGCCTTCCGTCAAATCGCCCTCTCATGACCGATATCAAAGTTCCCGCGTTGCATTCTGCTCTCTTGGCCTACAACATGCATATCGGCAAGCAATCATGCGATTCTGGAGAGCTCTTCGCTCCGCTGCTCCGTCAGTACGTTACTGATGTCCACGAGAGTCGATTCTCCGTCAACGTAAGGGACGCTGAAATCAGCCTGCATGGAGTCGCGCCCTATATGCCGCCTGCGCTTCATGTCAAGCAACCCCAGAACGGTCTATCTTTGCAGATCTGGTCTGACCCTACGTGTGACAGCAGCATCCAAATCACGCTCAAAGTCGACTTTCTGGGCAGTCTGGGCAAGCTATGGATGCGTTACCGCATTGTTTTTGCCGCTTTTCCGATCCTCGTTGTAGCCCTGGTTCTGCGCCAACAATTCCGAACGTACGACAGAGATGGCGTCTTTACGAGCTTCTCCCAAGGACTCAATGAGTGCTTGACGACTTCGCTTCCGCTCGCCCTGTCTGCGCTTACCTTTTTGTCGATTGCGCTGGCCACTGCCCAGTACCAGTCGAAGAAATGGTTCCTCGGCAGCAAGTCTGCCAACATGACGCTCTTTGATGACGCCAACAATGAGCTTCTGCTTGGTTCCGACGATACCTTTTTTTGGTTTCTCGTTCCTCTATTTGGCCTAATGTGTATTGGCGTTTGTGTTGCTGTCAACTATGTTGCCATGCTGCTTGAAGTCATCTTTGCATCCATCTACTCCATGGTCCTAACGGCCAGGCTGCGAAAAGACGATGGCAAGAGAACACCAGCAGCTTTTGCAGTAACTTCAAACCGACAGCGTGTCATTACGACATGCATTCTGTTGTCGCTCGTTTCGACATTTATCCCTTACCACTTTGCCTACGTTGTGCTCTGTCTCGTCCAGCTTGCAACCAGCGTTCGCGCTCTCCGCCTAGCAAAGGAGTCTGGTATCGACTCCAACTACAACTTTTACAACTACGCACACTCAATATTTATCCTAATGCTCTGGATCCTGCCAATCAACCTCCCGGTCTTGGTAGTCTGGATACGAAATCTTGCTGTTCATTGGCTGACACCCTTTTCGTCTCACCACAACATCCTCTCCATCATGCCGTTTATCCTACTGGTGGAGACGCTGAGCACCGGACGCATGGTACCTCGCGCCGAGTTCCGCGCCTCCTTTTTTACAAACATGTTGCTTTTTTCGATTGGCGCCTACGCCGCCATCTACGGCGTTACGTATGCCTATGTATTGCACCATCTGGCAAACATACTGTGTGCATGGCTCGTAGCCATACATTTTGACCCGTCGACGTGGCCGCAAAAACGAACAAGCAGCACCAACGCAATAGTAGAAAGCAGCAGGAGTCCAGACAGCAAGACGAAGAAACGACCATGACGCACCCCCCACAAGCGAGTATAGAAATAGTAATATCAAAATTTTTCTTCTTTTCCTCCTCTTCTTCTTCTTTTTTTTTAATACAAGTTCTCTTCTACCACGCAAACAACAAGCTTTGTTTCACCCTTTGTATGTAGTAAACGCGCCAGTCGCGTTGTGGTGCTCTTTTTTTTCACACTTTTACTTTATCATACCTATATCCTCTTCTTCTGTTTCTTCATTGCATATACTGTCCTTTCCAATACTTGAATACCCCCAAATGCGCATTTTTGTTTTTCTTGGTCTAGTTTCTTCTATCTCTCTCTCTCTCTCTCTCTCTATATATATATATAACGTGGTTCACAAGTGAGTCGCTAACCCAAGCGAGTCGCTAACGCCCCACCACTACATCTACATCAACACGTTATCACAGTTTTTTATCACAGTCAATAAACTATTGCAATATACCAAATTAATTGTTAGAATCGCTACTATCACTTGCACTATCTATCTCAACTACGCAGGTACGAGCGTTGTGTCCAGTCTGCTTGCAACGCCCGCACCGCCGCTCTCCTCGCACCCTCTTCGACGCACTCTCACCATCACCACGACTGCTACCCGCCTGTTCAGCTAATACTTCTTGTACTTCGCCTACAGTAAGAGTCTCTTCTGTCCGTACGTATCGCCGCTTGCGGCTCTTACGCTTATTTGACTCGTTAAGAGCCGCTCGAAGCGTACCCATTTCCTCCATCATAAGCGTCATTTTATGTGCCATTTGCTGGGCCCCCTTACTTAGCTGCGCGATCTGCTTAGTAAGTGAATTGGCAGAAGACCCACGGCGTTTTCTCACGCTCTCTTGAATAAGACCAATTTGAGACTCAACTTCGCGCGCGTTGCGTGGTGTCTGCGCCTGCCAGGCGGCTACCTGTTGCGGTGATTGTATAGGTGTCTGCACCACCACATCAAGCTTAGATAGCACAGCCTGTGGGTCGTGTGGGACTAGACTAGCGCCTCTAAAGCTAGCTTGGATATTCTCCTTCGTGATAGACTGCTCAAAAGCAGTCTTAAAGGCTAATAGGAAGGTCTCTTTGCTGATATAGTGGGTGCGGTTGCGTGCCAAGCCTGAAATAGCGTCGCCATACTTGCGCTTTAACGGCGAGAAGCAGGCGACGTCAAGGGGCTGCAATAGGTGAGACGAGTGCGCAGGCATGCAGAGAAGCACAATATTCTTCTCCTTGCAAAGATCTTAGAAATCGACAGAGTAGTGGCTCTTATAGCTATCGATAATGAGCAGTCGATACCTACCTACAGTAGAGCTCTTTGTATGGGTATTAAAGTGCTCTAACTAGGCAAGACTAAGCTAATTATTCGTCTAGCTATTAGGACTGACTTTAAGAACCTAGTTGGCAGGCAAATCCTTAAACTAGACGTTGATAAGCACCTTGCCCGCAAAGATAACGAAAGGTAGTATTTAGCGACCCAACGCGCCCACGCCTTAGATTACAGTAACCCACTCACGGTTGCCTGGCTGTATCCGCTTCTTTTTTCTATATCCTTCTAATGCTGTGATAACTAACTGTGATAAAATCTTGCCTATCATAAAGCCAGTTTCGTCAAAGTTGTAGATATCATCGTCCACAATACCCCACTTCTGCTTTGTCGCCTGGACTAAGTCAAACCAGCGCTGGATAGCCACTGGATCCTCGCAGGCGGCTCGCTGGTGATCATAGGGACGGCTCTAGCGCGTACGGAGCTTAGGAGTCCGCTTAACAAAGTTGTTAACCTAGTTCTTGCTAATAGGGTTGCCACCACGCTCCTCTAATAGTTTATTAGCTATTACTTGAACGTTAAGCTTTGTAGGCGCAAATCCTTACAGAGACTCTTTAAGAATACGCTTAACTATAGCCTCCTCTTCTAGCTTATCTAGACGCTTCAATTTTGGCTCACAGTCGCGTTAAGGGCGCTTTCTAGCGCGTTGATTAGATAGAGTTCTTTGTGGGACGTTGTAGATAGTAGTAGCACGGTTTACACTCTAAACACGTTGCGACTAGACGTTAAAAAGAGCAAGTTAAAGATTAGATTTAGAATATATTAATAGACGGTTGCGTTGTTAAGACATCACGCGTTATAGTGATGAAGTTAATGGGCTAGTGGGGCGTTAGCGACTCGCTTGGGTTAGCGACTCACTTGTGAACCACGTTATATTTATCTTAGATAAGCACCAATGTCCTTTCCATTGGCCCAGTCTTGATTACGACCATTTATTACAAAGCGAACTTGGCTGTTTTTTTTTCTTTCTTTCTTTCTTTCTTTCTTCTTCTTCTAGCCAATTCAAATCACGCTTTTTAGCTTTGCAATTGCTGGTATTCGCGTGAGCGTTTTGTGTCTGTGTGTGTGTGTGTGTGTGTGTTGGTTCTAGCTGGATTTACCGTTTATATAGTTGTTCCGAGAGAATAACAAGCGCAGTTCTGTATAGATTAAAAACTCAGTTAATACATACCGTATTTGAGAGATATGGATAGGAAAATGAAAAAAAAATTCCATGATGGACTCGTGTACTGTAGACTTTTCATGATAAACTCGCTTGTGTTGTACCACTATACTACATATCTATGTACATATGTACACTGCTGAGTTTCCAAAGTACACAGTAATTAATGATTAATGATTAATGATCAATGAGACTAAGTAGTACGTTTGGACTACCTTTTGCTCACTCACTCACTCACTCACTCACTCACTCGCTTCCATGCCGGTGGTGGTTATTCTTGAACTTTCAGACTTTTGATTACACACACAGACGCAAGATTTTAGAAGAAGGGGCAAGAAGAAAAGTGGCCAAGTACGGATAGATATGTCGAGGAGGATGATTCCATGTACAAAAAAAGAGATATTCTCAGCGCCTAAAAAAAAGCAACAGTAATTTTTCCTTACTCATCTACATCCGCACACACACACACACACACTGTCCCTCCGCATTTCATATAAATCAAAGTTACAAACATCTACTTACTTCCTCCTCTTGCCGCCCCCACCATCATCTTGTCCAGACTGCCTCGCCCTCTTCTTGCCTTCGCGCGCCCAATACTCATTGCGCTCCCTCTTCTCCCTCTCCTCCCTCTTCTCGGCATTCTCCTCGACCTTTCTGCGATACGGATCTTTGCGCTCGTCCTGCTTCTTCTTGCGCCTCTCGACTTTATCGTTTCTGATGGCAATGACCTGGTCCATGAGTCGTCTGGCCTTCTTCTCCTCACCACCGAGCACCACGGCGCGTTTTTGCAGGTACGTCTGGCTCTTTTGGGGCTTGGTGACTGCGGCTTGGGATTTGAAGGGGAGGTCGGCGGCGAGCTTGCGGGGCACGCGGAGGGGATTGAAGACGCGGGTTTGACGCTCGACGGGGCGGTAGGCGCTGTTCTTTTCAGAGGGCGTGGAGAGACCTTGCTCGTGGCGGACGGCGCCCGTGAGACGCATGCCTTGCCACGAGGTGGATTCGCCGGGCTGGTCGGTGCCGGCGGGACAGAGGAGGTTGGTGACGGTATTGTAGAAGCGGTGGGGTTTAATGGGGTACCAGGCTCGGAGGAAGACAATGTCACTCATGAGGATCTTGTCTTCAAAAGTAGCACGGAAGTTGCCCTCGGGTTTGCTGAGAGCGCGTTTGATTTGTCCGCGCACACCAGAGACGGTGCGTATGCTTGCGCCTTCGAACTTTGCAATCTCAAGAGCCGACTTGAACATGTCTTTGACAAAGGCCGTGTTTTTGAAAATCTTGTAAGGATGTCCTGTGAGCTTGAGCTTCTTTACGATTTCGGTACTTTCGTCGACGTTGAGGACTACGCCTGTGGCAGCAATGCGGAACCCGGCCGTCTTGTTGGACAGGCTTTGGACGCAGACGAAGCCCGTGTTGGGAGCGACGAGGGGGCCGTAGAATGTACCGAAGCAGTGCATGTGCTCGGGCGTATACTTGAGCATGCGGTTTCTCGTCCGCGAGTCCGAGATGCTGTAGATGGGCGTAGTCTGGAACCGTCGCCAACCCAGCGAGAAGATTAGGGGGTCGTTGGTCTTGAGAATCTTCTTGTGCCATCGGTGTCGCTTGATGCGTATCTGCACGTATCCAAAGCGCTCTTCGGTAGGCGTGAGACCTCCAATCAAGACCGGGAAGCGCGGGTTAAAGTGCATTGAGAATTCGCAGGGGACGTTCTCAAGCACAATACGCGCGTACGTGCCTGCTCTGTGGCCCTCAACACGAACGCGGGAAGATTCGTCTAGCTGGTCGAACTCGGCGCGGTTGATGTCAAGTTGCTTCTGAATCATGGCCTTTTGAGCATCGTACCAGTCGTCCTCGCCAAACTCTTCGTCATCCCCGCCTTCTTTCCGGCCGTCAGTCTTGTCGTTCATGAAGCCCTCTCTGTCCTCCTCTTCAAACCGGAGTTTGAGCTCTTCTTTCCGCCGTGCGTTCTTTTCACGCTCTGCTTCGATCGAATTGGCCTGGGCCTCGGCTTCGGTCTTTTCAGTCTCGCCTCCGTGCTTTTCGCCAGTCTCCAAGTCTTCAAACTCTCCGTCGCCCTCATCGTCTTCATCAAAGCCCTCAAAGTCGTCGCCATCTTCGTCGCCATCGCCACCCTTGCCGTTCATGTGACCTGTAGCAAAGCGACCCATGAGAGCCTCGACATTCTCCTCGTCTTCCCACTTTTCGGCGAGCTCGTCGTAATTAAATGTGGGTATGTATCGGTCCTCGGTGTTGGCGGCGTCGTCTGCTTTCCGCTTGTTGAAGAAGCCATCTTCTTCGTCTTCATCTTCCTCAATATCCTCCTCCTTCTCTTCGCCTTTCCATTTCTCAATGACTTCTTGAGGTGCCAGATCCATGTTGTACATCATCTTCGCCAAATCAGAAATGCGGTACGCTCGCTTCTGCCCATGTAACCTCGCAGCGTTTTCCCGTAGATTGGCCTTCCACCGCGCACCGTCTTCGGCGTCGTCGTCTGACTCTTCCGAACCGAAATCACCATCTGCGAGGTCTTCGAGATCAGGCTCATCTCCGGATATTGAACCAAGGTCGGAGTCACTGTCTGCAAATGCTATGTCCTCTGCTACATCGCCGTTGGCTTCCTTGTCCTTACGCGCAACCTTGAACTTGCCGCTGGGAGGCCCGTTGGTATCCAGAAACCCGGTGTCGTCTTCGTCGTCATCCGCGTCGCTGTGGTCTCGCTGCAGCTCTTCGTCATCGCTATCGATGCCCTCCAGATCAGCGTCGTCAATGTCTTCAGCATCCGCTGCTCTAGCCATCCGCTGAGACTTTCGACCAGTGTCTGCAGCGTCGTCGTCGAGGTTCTTGTTGTCCACAACATCACCGTCCCTGAAGAGCCTAAAGTTGCCGTCGTCTTCACCGAGGAGTTTCCTCCCACCCTGAAGACCAATCATCATCTGCTCGCCCAGTCCCTTCTCAGAGTAATCGGCTTCCGGGTCGAATGTGGAAGTCTTGACATCAATGTAAACAGCATCCTTATCGACCAGCACACCACCAACGTCGGACATTGGCGCATACAAAATCTTCTGCTTCTCGCCAAGCCTGGTGCGCTTCTTCTTGCCCGAAACCTTCTCAGCCTGCTTTTCTGCAAAGGGTGTCGGACACGGGTCTGGCAGTGGCTCGGTCGAAGTGACGGTAAGATCGCCCACACCCGGTATATGCACTCGTGAGCCTCCAGCGGGGAAATTGGTGCCGCGCAGGTAACCGTAGAGCGCAATGGTGCGATCGCATTTCGGGTTCTGCTCGATATCGGTTGGGGGCGTGATATCCAAGAACCTATCTGCGAGACAGTACGGATGCGAGTTCCTCCAAATCAACGGTCTGGGGTTCTTCATGACGCTCAAAAACCTCGAGAGGTTCATGATCTCGCGGTCGGGGTATCGGCCATTGACGACACCGCTGAGGTAGAAGAGCTTGGCGCCCTGGTACAGCTCGCTCCAGAACCTGTGCTTGAGTCGCTTCTTCTGCAGCTTGAGGGTTTCTTGCTTCCTGAACAGGTCCAGATGCGTCAGGATGCCAAAGACGTTTCCGGGCATACCGCTTGCGCTCAGGACGTTGAGAAACTCCATTGTCTCCATCTCGAAGCCGTAGTTGCCGTCAATCATCAGCAGACATATATCCACGACCTTTGCGATGTCGATCATGCTGGCGAGCGAGTCGGCGGGACATTCTATAAATGTCAGGCGTCGGCGCTTCGAGGTAACGACTGTGAGGGGGCCGGTGGGGGTGGAGAGCGTCTGCTTGGTGTATCGTCTGATTAAGCTCTTGATGAGGGTGGTTTTTCCGACTCCCGGAGGACCAACGACACCGACGATGATTGGGGGAGCCTCTTCGGGAATGCGGTCGACGAGTGGGACATGGAGGCGCTTTTCTTTGACCTGGAGGGTGTTAGATATGAAGCGCGCATAATTTTTTCATGCCGCATACTTCTGTAGAGCGCGCAGCCTGCTTTTTCAACCGGCCAGGCGCGGCGAATGCAAAGGCCTTGGGGTTCCTCTCTGCAGTATGGGGCTTCTTCTCTTTCTTGGGCCGATGGGGCCGATTGCTCTGCTGGTCGGCCATGTTCGCAGAAGCTCGGGCTGCTGCAATGGACAAGGCTACAGGATGGCGGCGCAGGGCAAGGGGAGCAGCATGTGCATGTGTCGCGCGCAGCCCGTGGAGTGGCAGCGGCAATGCTTTCGCGATCCCAACTTTTTCGGCGCTAAGGACAGGCGCTCGGGCCGGCGACAGGGATGCGCTTATCGATAAGACATGCGGCCGGGAAGGTGGGGCAATGGCCACGCCGAGCTGGAGCTGAGCATGGAGGGGCGAATGCGTCTGGACAGCGCACGTCATCGTCCAGACAGGCGCATATCCAAGGCTCACGACTGGTGTGGTGGCAGGGGGACAAGGGGGGCCGGTGGGGGTGGGGTGCGTGTGATAGCAGTACCCTACTCTGATTCACTGCTCTTGGTCTTGCTGCCCAGTTGCGCCATTATATAAAGTTGCTGATACGCCTTTCTCTCTGTGCCTGCTACATCATTCTACCTACCAACTACAGCTACAACTACAACTACAGCTACAAACAAGAACAAGACGCTCAAAATGGCTCAGTTCAACGTGAGTACCCTCAGCCCCTCTTCCCAAGCCGGGCCCCGTATGCTGACAATGCTGTTTGCAAAGATTACACTCAAGAAGGACGCTCCCCAGGAGGAGCTCGAGGCGGCCAAGAAGAAGGTGACGGACCAGGGCGGCAAGATTGTCAGCGAGTTCTCGCTCATCAAGGGCTTCACGTACGTAGTGCTGCCGTGTACCAAGCCCCCATAGGGCTGTGTAGCATGAGCATCAGTACGCTGACAAGGCCAACAGCGCCGAGATTCCCGACGACGCCGTCACGACCCTCGAGTCCAACGAGCACGTCACCGTCGAAAAGGACGCCGAGGTCCGTACGCAATAGAGCCCGTCATACACATGCGGTGCTGATGGCATGACAAAGATCCAGATGTGACGGTGCGGCGCAGGACATGCATCACGGGCATAATGCACGACCACATGGCTTGTACCAAGTATATAGTAATAATCATCGACATGTACACATGAACACTGGTGCATGCCATGTGACGCCTCTTTGTCTATCGCCGCAGGTTCTTGGCGCTTCTCCTGGCCAGTTGCACACTGTCTACTCTTCCCACTCCCCGCAGGCTGAGATAGACATCTGTGCCCCACCCCCAGAGACTCTGCACTGCGATGCCGCCCCCGAAATACTCGGCATAGGCTCTTCCCAGCGGCAGCCCGTATCCCAGCCCCGCTAGCGTGTTGACCCCGTCGCCCCCAGCGCCCGAGAATGCATTCAACGCGTCCATGCCGTTGGCCGAGTGGTTTCCCGACCCGCCAGCCAGCGTAGACGAGGCCTGAGCGTCGTTGAACGTGGTGAAGCTGTAGTCCCAGATGTGCTCTAGGTTCTCGGGCGATATGCCGCCGCCACGGTCGCGGATGCGTATCGTCACGCCCGGCGTGCTGTGCTTGAGGGGCAGGATATCCGAAGCTGGAGGCGGCGAGCTTGGAGACGTATTGCCGGCAAAACGCTGCGATGCCTTGTCGACGTTTCCCTGGTCGTCGTTATCAATCTTCTTGTTGCGCATGCTTTCTGAGCTGGCGTCTTGGTCTTCTGGCAGCAGCTCGGGCAGGGGGGCAATGGTGACTTCGATGGGCTCGCGCTGCATGCCGCTTTCGACGGTTGCGCGGAACGCATTCTTGAGAAGCTCGGTGATGATGTACTCGAGGTGCACAGGCACGTGGGCAAACTCGTAGTCGGGCTCGCCGTTGATGACGACAGTCGGGCGCACGCCGTACTTGAGCTCACAAATCTCGCCCACGACGTTGGCACAGTGATCGACGATGCGCGCAGGCTTGAGGCGCGTATCAATGACGCCAATGAAGCCCGGGCTGTCGTCTGCATCGTGCATCATCTCCGCGTGCGGCTGGCTGGAAAAGTGCAGCGACAGATGCTGCTCGGCAATCAGCCGCGTGCCTATCCTGGCGCGCAGGTGCTCGTCGAGGAAGCGCGTCACCTGCTTGGGGCTGATGTACTTTCGCGCCTCGAGAAAGCCGCGGGCCAGGATGCTGATGGTGTTGGCGTGTGTCTGCACCAGGTCGGCCATGACCTCGGTGAACTTGACCTCGTCCTCGAGCGTCGTGATTTCCTGCTCGGCCCATGGCAGCAGCGTCGACAGGCTGTGGATGTAGTTGGAGTGGATCTTGGAGACATGGGGATTCGACACGACAATAAAGGGGAGGTTGCGGAGCGACTGGATGCGGTGCGCGAGGCGGGCGGGCAGGATGGAGAGTGTGAAGTTGGCCGAAGTGAGCAGCTGTTCGGTCGTGAGAGGCGGCCTTCCGTGTCTGTTGGACATGCGACACCCGTTAGCCAGTCTTTTGCGCGCCCACAATGCACACCTACTTTACCAGATCAGCGAGCGTCAGCGGGTGCAGCGGCAGGCTCGCCAGATGCGAAATGTCCTGGTCCGTCACCGTCTTGGTGTGCAGCTTGCTATGGCGCGGCCTTTGAGCAAACAGGGCGCCGCTGCATCTGCGTGCTGTGCGCGGGCAGCACAGGCGTATGACTTGGGATTGAATAATCAGAGGCCGCTGTACCTGCGCCATGCTTGCCACTGCAGCGAGAAAAAAGGAGAGAAAAAAGAATTGAATGCGATCGTGATGTCGTGGATGAGGCCAGTGGGCCTATGGCTCGGCGGCAGAAATACGAAGGCGTCGCTGGCGGGGACGATGCTATGCGAGTCGAGTCAAGGCATCGAGAGAGAGAAACAATAATGGTCACGGCTGTGAACAAGGACTGGCCTGGCCATGTATTATACCGAGTGCCATGGCATTCATCGCAGTCAAGTCGGAGGAAGCTTCACCAAGCTCGAGCGCCAGGATGCGCCTGATGTCATTCGTCCACGGCGCCGAACACGCTGCGTCGGCGGCAATGATTGGCTGCCGCCAACCGAACCATTCCTTCATTTCCATCTCCCCGACGCCATGCCATGCCTTTTCCCATTCACGCACTGTTCTCGAGCCGCCTTTGCACGTTCGCCAGTGGGAGACAGTTCGGAACACCAAGAGCACAACTCCACGTGTCCCCTGCTGCCAATCCCAAGCGTCGGGCAGCATGCACACGCTGTGTACCGAGCGAGGCGAGCTTCTTGCACTTGTACCTGTTTCTGGAATACAAGACAACGCTGTCAAAGTGCTGTCTAGCCCTTGTTCCTTCATACTCATTACTCATATCTGTACTAATTTTATACATGTCCAGGGTATCGTTCCCATGCCCGTCACCGGATATCGAATACATATACACATTATAAGCGTTTCCGTCACGCGTCAACAGCCTCACACCTCAAAGCCAGTAAGGCTGTTCCTCACCGCAATGTTCCCGTCAATTGGCCGGCTGTTCCTTTTGTTGCTCCCAGCCTGCTCCGTCGCTACGGCCCGGCCCGGTCGCTCCGACTCTGGCCTGGGCGGAGGAAACAAGTCCTGCGTCGTGACATTCGCAGTCTTGGGCCTCGACGTGATGCGAGGTCCGGGAGAGAGCGAACGATTAAACGCGCCCGAAGAAGGCCGCTGCTCGCCACCCATGCGCCCACGGCTGGCAGACTCGCCATTCTGTGCCGATGTAGGAGTATAGTTTCCCGTTTTGGGAGTGTAAAAACCGCCCTCTTCCGACTTGGCCCCACTCCGTGGCGAGACGAGCGCGTTTTCATTTGAACTTGGCCCAGAAAAGCTGCCGTCCTTTTTCAGGTTGTACGGCGTGCTAATGCTCCTGTCCTCAGTTCCCTGGAGCTCGTCTGTTCTCCTTGAGAGAGTCCTTGCACCAGCCACATCTACAGCTGGAGCAGCCTTCTTTTGGTCGAACCCAAACCTCTCCATCGTGTTATTCCTCGGGTCCCCGAAGACACTAGGGTCCAACGTGGGGGCCACTCCCTTCTTCTCTTTATCAGCAATCCGCTGCTCTAGCCACGTTCTGATACCAACCAGTGCTGTAGCGCTGATTTGGACCATGAGCAAGAAGCTCATAAGCCCAGCCACCACAGCCGAATTCAGCACGGCATCCACAGCACACAGCGAGAAGGAACGCAGTGTCTCAAATCCCCGGATTAAACACAACTGACCCAAGATGATGATGATCTGGATCAACGCACTGCTGATGAAATAGACACGCTGTGGTGACCGCGCCAGTCCAATGGGGCCTTTGAAGCCCACGAATGCAGAGGGGGCCGGGTGCGGCATGCTAGTGCGCAGCCGCACGATTGACAAGCCTACTGCAGGCACGATAATAATCAGAGCAACCAAGCCGAGGATCTGGTTGTATGAGTTAGTCACAGTCGTCGCCCAGACTCGCGAGCGGTGAACTTACGGCATGGAGGTCTCTGAAATGACGGACATTGCCTATGCCCACTATGCCCAAGACAATGCCAACAATAGAAAACAAGGCAAAGGCAAGCAGGAACCCCATGCGCCAGTTCCTGTTCCTGGCTTCATCGACTGGGTAGCCGACGAGGTTCGAGAAGCGCCAGACCACACCCCAGATGAGATATAGTGGCAGGAAAAGGAAAAATGCAAGCGTTACAAACAGTACTAGCACACCATGTCAGTTGCCATCTTGCAGTCAGGCAGCGCCTTGGGTAACTAAGCTTACCATGCAGTGCAGTAAGTACTACAAACACCTTCAATTCCTGTCCATTGACCTTTACATCCTGATCCTGCAGCACAATTTCAAACGTATTGCCATTCAAGGTAATATTGACCGGTCCTTTGGGTAGAGCTTGCAAAACCTGTGGATCAAGCGGGGGTCCGTTGGCGCCCCCAGCTAATGAGAAAATGCTCATATCTGGCTTCAGATTGGACCGGACACCCAAGAACACAGAGGCAAGACCACCGATGCCCTGACAATTAAGAACATCAACAGCCTTTTGGCCGCCTGCCTGTGCTGTGGCTGCGTCAATTGCTAACGGTGCTTCGACGCTACCCGTCTGTTGAGTCTGACGGGTGTAGAGAGGACTGAGTTTGTCTGGGAACCGTCAGTACATGGAGAGCAATGTTGTCGAGCATACAAACGCACCTACGCTGACCCCCTCGTGTCCACTGCTGATGCTACGCTTTCGTCCCAATGCAGCGTTCTTCGACGTTTGGGATCCTGATGTGAGGTTTTTGACAATGTTTGCAACAAGTAAAGTTCCTTTTCCGGTAATCCCACGTCCAAGACCAACAGCGGCCCCGTTGACCGAGTCGTTGAACGTTATCGCGCCCAGAACGGGTAGGTCGTCGATCGCATTGGCCGGGATATCGCCGCTGACGAGGTTCTTGAATCCTCCAACCGAGGATATGGCGCTGACAACACCCTCGATTGCGCCTCTACCGAAGCCTTCTGCTGCCTGGGCCGCCTCAAAGTTTAGGCGGAACATTGGGTTCTTGCCCTTCGCAATCATCTTAACGTCATCAATGACTGAGCTGTTCAAAAGGAAGTTTGTCAGAAGGTTCTGCGTGAAGGCTTCCGCAGCCGTGGCTACCTGCACCCCGTTGGTACCGTTGGCAGTACCGTCACCGGCAATCGTCGCCTTGCTACCCACTGGCCTGAAATTCAAACCGACAGCGGCCCAAAGTCCTATACCGGCACCTACTCCTGACGCGATAGGGGCGAGCATGGATTTGATATCAAACGAACCTGCAAGAGAAGCGCCGCCGAACAAGTTGTTGGCCAGTGAGAAGTTGCTGCCTGCGAGGAACGACTGGCTGGCCCCCTCGGTGAACAACTCTACCGCCTGGCTGATGTCGGGACCGCCAGATTTATCGTCTGTAGCCCGTCGGTTGCGCCCTTGAGTGTTGTTGCCGTTGGAGTCGGTTTTGGTTGCCCCCAGACCCAATCCGTTCTTCACGCCTTTGCCTAAGCCTACTCCGGCAGCCGATGCAATTTCAGGAAGTTTTTGCATCAGACCCGAGCCGGCAGCGCTGCTAGTCAAGCTCTGCAGCATGTCTTTCAGATTGGCAACTAATGGTGTCGTGATTCCCAGACCAATGTTGCCTGCTATGTCCTCAATGGTGGCATTCTGGGCCGGCTTAAACTGCTCTTGCGTTAACCCCAGGCCTGCTGCAGTCGCGTTGCCGATTCCAGATGCTAGAGCGAAGGCTGCCGGGCCGATATTTGGGAGTTGAGCGTTTCCAAGCTTGACAGTAGGCAAAATTTGTGACAAAAGCCCGTCACCCAGGTTCTGGGCAACAAGATTCAAGCCAGTCGGAGCAGCATTAAATGAGGTGGCAATGCGGGAAGCTATTGCGCTGGCCTGCTGCGGACTGGTTAGGTTGAGGCCAGTACTTGCACCCATACTATCGCCTGTTAGTGTAGCCAGCTAATATGCGGAAGTACATACCCAAGACCGATACCCAAGAACAGAGCAGGCGTGCCCAGTGCTCCAACCAAATTGTTTCCTAGACCCGATAGAACACCCTGGATCCCACCAGTGACATTCAGCTTGCTGCTCAAAGCGCTGCCAATGCCCTTACCAATGTCTTCAATGAGGCCTCGCTTGCCTTCTGTCTCTACTTGCTTGTTGCGAAAGTGTTCGACTCCACTCGTCAGGTTCCCCCCAAAGGACCGCAGATTTTCCCATCCATATCTGTCCCCAAGATCTGTCGACGAGAGTGCAACCGCCGTGGTCAGCGACAACAGCGCCTCGTGTAGTTGCCGATCCTGGTTGAGCGCATCGATGGTTTGCGTGGAAAAGATTGCCGTGATGCTTTCGGGATAGTCATCGTCGTGGATCCTGGGATTCAGTTCACTGAACCAGAATCCTGAAAAGACGCATGATACGAAGAAGATGGCGGTAATGGTCAGCAGGCACCAGGCTGGCCTTTCGACAGCCGAGGCAAACATTATTAAAAGTGAGTATTTTGGGATCCCAAGGATATGTGTAGAAGAGGTAGGAAGCCTGATGGAGTCGGTGCAGATACGTCTCTACACCAGTCATAGAACTCAGGAAGCATACACTCTGTAGTTGCCTGCCCGTCGCTATACACTGATATATGCACAAGAAGTTGGACATGGTAGTGCTGGTGTCCAGGATGGCAATGTGCCGAAACATTCTCGTCGTGAAACCAGAAACGCGCCAACTTCACCTCCAGCGTCGACTTGATATGTAGCACGTGGCATGCTGAAAACGTCGAAGACGCGGATTGGGCAGACGGACAGGTCACTGTAGCTCGAATACCCTTGCAGTCGACTGGCTGTGTTTGGCCGCAGGGAACACAGTGCTGTATGGGCCGCGCATGGTAAACGGAAAAAAAAGGCCGTGCAGATGGGCATATCGACTCTTCGGCTGGGCTGCAGGCCAGAAACCGGCCTCCGGGATCGCCAAGACAAGCGAAAGACGAGCCGTTGCCGAGCAGCTATGCATGCATTGCAAGCAACGAGGGACCAGACACTTGTGCGCGGAACTTGGGATTTCCTGGATTGCCCCAATGAAAAGTGGTGATGCCGCGACAGCGCACGCCGCCGCTGCGACGATGTTGAAACACCAAGTCAGAGTCACTGACGGTGACAACGTTGGAAAGTCGAATGTGACAGTGACTTGTACAGGTGCTCCATGGCTGCGAGTAATGTTCCAGGAAAGTTGCGCGCTTGCGAGAAAAGAATCCAAAAGAAACGCGGGCGAGACGCGGCTCCGGAGCGTGGCCACGACGGGCCATCATGCCGTTTGGAATAGGCGCAACACTGCTGCTTCGTGTAGAGAGGCGAAAGCTGCCAACACCGTCTCACCTGCTCGACTGCTCCGACTTTTCCGAGTTTCTCTCAAGTTTCCTGGTGGCGCAACACGTCCAGAGTGCAGTCATGCGTCGAGCAGTCATGAGACATTGGCCTCTGTGTGTGGCGCTGGCCAATTTGGAATCCGGTGCGTGAGCGTCAAATCAGGCTGTTAAACAAGCCTACCTTAGCAAGCGACGTGACGCCTCCTACTGGAGACGCCGTGAAAGGCGGCCTTCACATGTATCAAGGGCCGTGTTTTGTCAGTGTCCGAAAGAATACCAAAGACAAGACCACAATCGCAGAGTAACGACATATCGGTGGCATCCCAGAGTTTCTGGTCGAGCATTACCCATCCATGGCACATGGCTATCTGAATGTTTTGTTTCCTGTGTATCTATATTTCTCCATGTGCACCGGAGTTCCGATGATATTGACACTAGTTTCCATATACCTGTACAGCTCCTCCACCACAACCCGGTCCATAAAACTTACTTAGTTGTTCACGTCCAACGTTAAAACCGTCGTCGCCGTCGCATCCATTGCCTGAATTAGGATCTGTTCCTAGCTTGCACTAGAGCAGAGTCAGTCTCCCTATCATAGATATAGACGCGTATGCAGTAAAACACGTACGCAGTACTGCCATGACCAAATAGGACCTTGGCCATTCGGAGTATTAAAAGGAGTCCAGACGAAATCTGTGTTGCAACAGAGGGCAGATGGTATGTAAGGGTTGAAGCCTGCGGTTACGGGCAGCCGGTCTGCATTTGCAAAGATATTGGCGTTGGGAGAAAGAAACGTCAATACCAGAGCCACGGATGAGGACGAAGGTGCCTTCATATTGATAGATGCGGAGAGGACTGAAGAACGTTTGAATAGCTACTATGTCGACATGCGCGACCAGATATCTATAGCGTCGAAGATGATAGCAGATTAAGCTTCCAAAATTAGGGGTAGTATGTGCACGATCGATTATAGACGAAGCACCTCATATTTAGAAAGTAAGAATTGACTAAGTAGCCCGTGTGCTTCTATGCTGAAGGTTCCTCCATTACCTACCTTAATAGAGAGAATATAGTATGATAAGAGTATAATGATTCCTTAAATCGACCCAGCATTGTACATTATCACAGAAATGCTCATGTTGTAGCTATAGTAAAAGGTGGTACTGTGTTGCATGTGGTGGTTGAGAGAGTGCGTAAACTGAATAATGTACACTAAAAATCCGAGCACCATTGCAGCCAGGGTAAGCACTATGTGCGGCATTTTCCCTACTATATTGATCTTTTGATCTTACCATGATCCGTGCTAGGCATTGCGCTAAGGTTTACGTGTATTGGTTCTGTATTCGGCAAGGTAGGGAGCGTTGGCGACGTCGACTAGGCATCTACTACTAATTTAAACAGCGAATCCGCATGGATATGCTGGGTAGTAACAGTATTTGAGGGTGGTGCATACTAGTATATTACGTAAGACGCTGAAAGCTCTAGTGGACTACCCAAATTTCACAAAAATGTGCGCCAATCCAGACTTTGATCAAATTCCTTTGCTTTTTCTCTTTACTACCAACTGCGACAAACACGTATAAAAAAGGATCCTACAACATTCACATAATCTGTCTTCTGGGCGGGTCAAAGGTGTTGACATGAGTCCAGAGCCCGAGAAGGTCAATTTTGCATACTAGTATATATTTGAACAGCTTAAAAGAGAGAGATGTTCTTTTCTTGTTCATGTAATCGTGGCCTAAAAATCTAGCGCTGCATTTGGGCTTGTCGCAGGCACGCCCATGGCTCCATGTTGCCATGGCAAGTTGGATGCTTCATGAGTCCTTACTGCTTAAAAAATCAACAGAGAAAAGCGTCCATGTGTATTTCAACAGTTGTGTTAGTGGCAAAGCGAAGCCACTGGGACGAACAGGTCCAACAAGCGGCTTTGGGTTGCAAAGCGTCGTGATTAGTTGAGACAGAAGACAATGTTTCCAGCCACTCGCAGTCGAGCTGGATATCCCATATTTGAGCTCTGCCTTATCACGAGCCCGTAGTTAACCCAGAAAAAAGGGTCTCGATGGGCTTTGGATAGGAGATCACTCTCCTGCATGCTTGATTGCAATTGCTAGGCCAGCTGATGTATTGCTCGAGGTACTGCTCCCGCTGGCACTCTTCCGCCGTGGGTATTGTTTGGGCGTCTCTGAGCTGTAGCTGAGGCGTCTGTGGTTTGATGCAGGCTGTTGGGGGAAATAGCCATACTCATCGTCGGGTACAAAGCGTACGGGGGTCCTCGCCCTGCTCTGGACGGGGCTCATGCGCAGTGTTTCGGACCCGACGCTCAATCGGTGACCTGGGCTGGTGGTGCCTGTTATGCTTCGCCTGTGCCGCCTCGTTGGTATTTCAGCAGGCAACTCCAGCCTCGAGTTAATGCCCATCCATAGCGCTTCTTCATCGTCGTCCCCTGGCACTCTCCAGCCGCCAACACCCTCAAAGTCTCGTGTTAGCTCGCTGGTACCGATGAGCGTGGTCAGGGAGTTGTTTTTGTAGTTGAGAAAGTTTGGTGGGGGAGCGGGACATGCAGGGACATCTTGGGACGATGCCATGCTGGCGATGCTGGTGCGCCGAGAGGGTTGGCGGGCGCCCGTGGGCGAAGGCCGGGCCGACGCGGGCCTGGGATGCGAGCGACGGGGGAGGCCGTGGTTGGATGGAGATGGAGAGAGCCACGCGCCGACAATGGCCATGGCAAGCTGGAAGTAGACGACGAGTGCGCGGAAGGACAAAAGCGCCAGGGCGACGGACGTGGTGAGGAGGGCGAAGAAGGCGAGCGGGATGGAGACGGAAAGGAGCACCAGGGGGGCGACGGCGTAGACGGGGCTCCACATGCTGAGCTCGACGCTAGATGAGCCCAGTCGAAGCAGCATCGTGTCGGCGCGTCGTGGGAGAAGGCGGGTGGGAAAAAGAAAGACTGGGCCAAGGGAGCAGCGCGGCCGTCTTGGTCTAGTCGTCGTTCGCATGTGAAGGTTGCGGGGAAATGCCAAGCGCGGCCGACGCTAGCCCCAAAGCAGCTAGGCCAAGCGCAAGCCGTGCAGCCTCTCCACTCTTGCTCGGCCCTCTCAGCTCTCCCTCGTGAATGTCTATCGATACACAATTCGCCCGCCTCAGCCAAGTCGACTCGTTGTCCGTCAGTCGTGCCAATGGATTGTCCAAATTGGCATCGTGCCCACGCCCGGTTCCCGCTTGCACGCCCGCCGATGGCCGTCTAGTTGCCGGTAAAGCGCCTCGCGGTGCTGCGCGCCGGCGTGATGCCGATGCCGATGAGGACAGCGCTGAGCGAGGTGCCCTTGAAGATGCTTTCGTACTGCTCAATCTTCAGGCTGGTGCTGTATGGCTGGCGCTTGATGCGCAGAAACGTCGCGCCCGTGACGGCGAGCCACGTGCCAAAGAGGATTTCGTAGCGGTATTTCTCGACCACGGACTGCGAGGTGCCGCTAGACATGCTGATGCTGCTGGAAATGAGGGCAACGCCTGGGGAAAGAAAGAAAAAATCGGAGAGTGCAAGTGTGGGTGCGAGTGCGAGTGCAGGTGAGGAGCATGGGGAGCGGAGCCGATGGTGTTAATACATACTTGTAGATATGGACAAGGGTGCATGACGTCGTCAGCCCACCATCACCATCGTCGCGCCACTCCCACTCGCAGCTCCCATCACCCCAGACACGGCTCGTCGCCTTTACATGTACTGCTACCGCCATCCCCCAGCCAACTGCAACTGCACGCGAGCCGCCCGGTACTACTACGTCTATCCAACATGCGCCTCGCAATCGCAACCAAGGCGCCGCAATATGCGCACCTCCATATCCGACATGGCTACGCGCCGCCATCCAGATGCTACCACTAAACCTCTCTCAGCCACAGCCACAGATTCGCCGAGAGACGCAGCTTGCCCTCGTTTAGCGCGAACCCAGCCTCCTCTCCAGCCTACCAGCTGCCGTGACTGATTCCCTCGCTGCAACGCCGCCTAAAATCCTATTCGCAACCCGCCTGTCCTCATCAACAGGATCCTGCACCCTACCACTACTATTCTGGCCATTCTCATCCTTCTCTTGCCAGAGGCGCGCAAAGTGAAGCTGACTGCATGGTTGATGCGGCCCCCTGCGCAGTCCCCGCTGCCGATCGCGGAAAATGAAAAACCCACCAAGCCATTTTGACCAACCCCTACTGGAGAGGCTGCACAAGGGCACAAAATCTACAGGCTCATGTGCTATTTTCCAAGCGGTGAGCAGACTCACTGCTCTGGTACGCAACCATTCCTCCTTCTTATCAGCGCCAAAGACTGCTCGCCTACCACCGGGTCCTGGTAAATCCATAACTTGGCATTGGTGGGAAAGCCACCGCGACCACAGTCAGGACGTAGATGAACCGCATGGCTTTGTGCGAGAGAATTGCACGCTAACCCTGCAGCATCACCTCTACTGACAGCACTTTTGCACAGCAAAAAACCCTTTTAATCTAGAAAAAGTCTGGAAAGCGAAAAGTACATTTCCACTCTGACCATCTTTAGCCGCTTTGTCTTGGCCACCAGACCACCCCCAAGTTTCCTTTAATGTGAAACAACATGATGGTATGGAGGGAATCGCGCCCAGTGATCGTTGAGATGGATGCGCGTAGCACAACGAGCAAACATGACAATGTTCATGGCAAGTGTACAATCTTACAACCAACATTGTGCGCGTCCGCACAGTAACGCCACACAGTCCTGTTCACAAAGCATGGTACAGTCTTTCTAGTCGCAATTCCCAACACTTTAAACAAAGAATGAAACCCAGCTATTCGTTCCCGCACTGCAAAGACAAGGCAAACGCATCGTCACAATTGGTCGACTGGACACCCAGAAGTTGTTCCATTTCCCCACCACTTGTCTACACAACTTCTCTATTGCTAAACAGCAATACCTCCATCTCCTTTCACTGGCGCCCATAGACGTCCGCTGCAACCACTGTCCAAATGCAATATCCATCATCCGAGCCCACCTTGGGGCTTTTCCAGCACAGTGCAAATCCTCAGGAAGACAGAGTCTCCAAAATCACAACAATAACAGTAGTCACATTGATACTCGGAGGCATGGTCCTTTTCGGCCTCATCGGGTGCCTGTTGACGTGCTGCATACGTTGTTCTCGCAACAGGAAATTCTCACCAAACTGTAGACTTGGCGCAGATGTCGAAGCGACGGCAGGCCTTGCAGGTCATGATGTCCACACTGGGACTGTCGGGACTGCTTGTGCTGATACCGCTCGTTTGAGCCATGCGGGCTCTCGCACTACGTCCTCTGCAACTGCTGCTGCGCCCTTTTCAAATGTTATTCTTACCCCAGTGTATCCCGCGCCTGTCTATCAGAATAGCCTTCGTCCCCAAGCTACTCACTGGCCGCTCGAGAGCATGGAACAGCCGCCGCAAAGCGGGAGTGCGACACAAGGACAGCGCACCCGGGATGTGTGAGAATAACCATCCTTGTTCCACCATACTCGCCGTCTGCTTTGCAGTGCAGTCTCGTTACTAGCGTAGTTTGAATCAATGAAATGAACAAAACGAAAATCTCAAATACTTGCAAAAACCTTGTCAAATCTTAATTGCTATGTAATACAAGGACCAGGAATGAACAAAACAAGCCTAAGTGAGGCGTCAATCCGTAAACAGGTTACTATTTGATCATTCATGTCCAGGGTATATGCCTCGTGCGCCAAAACAAAAAACGCCCATTACAGCAACAATTTATTGCTCATGGCCGCGATGTTGGGTAATAGAAAACCAGGGAATACCCGTCAAGGCTGGGTAGTCGACTGATCTACAACTCCGGCTTGGAAACATCTTCCTTGATGTCGTCCTTACTCACTACCACGAAATCGTCTTCCGTATCATCAACTTTTGGTTGCTGGGGCGACGGCGGAGAAATGGCCGCAGAGTCTTTGGGCTCCGAAGTCGGTGCATCTGGTAGCTTCGAGACAAGTTCAGAAGGTTCAGTAGCCTGCTCTGCTTGGGCTTCTGACGCTGACTCGGACACAGGCGGGAAGTAGTCGCTAGATGCTTATCAGCCTAAGAACACCCCAACATACAAAGCCAACAAACTTACGCAACCTGCTGGAAGTACGCATCTTCGTCCTTTTGAAGGAAGTTGCAGAAAATGACGCGGTCGAGCTTGTCTGCGTTGTCTGCATCGACCAAAAACTCGCGCACAGTCTTGAGCGCAACTGCGCAGGCTTCGTGACTAGGGTACCCATAAACGCCAGTGCTAATGGCGGCGAAGGCAATGCTCTTGCAGCCGTTTTCGGCAGCCAACTGAAGACTCTTTCTGTAGCAGCCTGAGAGCAACTCTCCTGAGTGCGATTTCTCCTTCCAGTATATGGGGCCGACGGCATGAATGACCTTCTTACTTGGCAGCTCGTATGCGTCTGTAATCTTTGCGTTGCCCGTTTCACATCCGTCGAGCGTCTCGCATTCCTCCAACAGTTTCGGCCCAGCACCCCGGTGTATCGCTCCATCCACTCCACCACCACCCAAAAGAGACGTGTTCGCAGCGTTGACAATAGCATCGACTGCGAGCGTCGTGATGTCTTGGCGAATGATGCTGATCTTGTCGTTGAGCGTGACAGAGGGTGGCACGTCAAACTGCTTCTTCTCAGGCACTATCTTGTTGAGCTTGTAGAGCAGCGACAGCGTGGGCATCTCGTCGAGCGTCAAGGGCGCCATTTTGGGTGAGCCTCGGGTCGAGAGGGGTTTTGCGAGATAATATGCGCTCGTCATGGGTCGTTGAAGTCTGAGGATCAAAAGTTCCAATAGCATGAGGCTGAGTACAAGTAAGTAGAAGCTGGCTGCCTAGAGCTCCAGGTGGGCTGGAGCTTGGACCTTGCCCTTTCCCGCGGGGCAATCAATTGCCCCGCCAAGGCTCTACTTGGTAGGTTACACTGCCTGTACTTCTTTGTTCATACTCTTCACCTGCTCTATACTTCGACCCTAACCGCCTGGGGCCTCGCCATTCACATCTCAAGTAGATTCTGCGCCTCTTCGTTTTCAACTTCTCACATGCTGCCACTGCTTGTTATTTCATCAAACTAGGATCAGTTTGGTTACATACAGCAACCGCTAGAATCCCAAACAAACCACACCCTGTACAATACATCAAACAACGGGTGACCAGCTTCAAACAGCCCTGAGAAGAAAGTAAGTATATGCTGTCCCGAAAAGTCTACGTAACCAGTGGCCATTCCAGAACCCGGGCTCGTAAAGATCGTTATATGATACCATCACCCAAGTATCTGCAACTTTTGTTGTCCCCACAACGCAGTTTCACGTAGATGACCCGAATTTATGAAGAGCTAGGCTAGTTTGCAGTGTATCTCGACCGAACGTTGATTCTTCGACAAGAGGCAATGTTTCTGGAGCACGACTTGGCCTTGCCGTATTCTTCACGCAAATCGATTGGGAAACATCCCAAGGACAGAGTGCTCCTGGTCGGCCGAGTGAAAGAGGAGATTGGAAATCGGCGATACAATTTACGAATGCACATGACCCAACGGCCCACCGGTCGGTATTCATACATGCACATCACGATTCAAAGGGAATAGGCCGGGCATCAAATCCGGGGTTTTGGTATCGGCAAATTTCAAAGCCTCGCTAGTGCAGCTACCACTTCACGCGACATACTTCCATCTTGGTTCACAGCTTGGCAATTGTGAATTTTCCACACCAAGACATCGTTTCCCGTGAGTTTCCGCCGAATTTCTGGTCATTCTTGGAAGCTGTGGGGTTGACAAGCTTGAGAAGCACGGACGATATGCTGAGGTCCAGATCAAAGCATGAATACTTTGATAGCACTGCATTCACTCTCGCCTGTTAGGGCTCCTACAGTCTATCATGACTATAGTCTCCACAAGCCATTCGCGGTACTACTCAGTCAGGTAAAAAAAAGAAGCCCTGTGTTGAGAACAAGATGAACACCATGATCGTCATTCATTACAGCCGATCGTACTTTGCCGTTGTTCAATTGGATATTGGCAACTTCTTGGGTGCAGGCTCTCACGGCTGAGCTTCCGTATGGAAACCAGTTTCTCCAGTCGAAATCGGTGACTCAGAGTTTGCTTCGTGGCATTACAATATTACAACGACCAACAGTATGTGATGAAGCCATTCATATTACCGGCCGCGCTGGTATCATACCAAGACCAGACACTATCACTCACCTAAGACTCTTGCGACGCATGGTAAGCCGGGGTTAAGACCACCAATGCCTTGACGGCCGATGTTACCGAGCGCAACAACTCTTTGCCTCTACCCTCTATGCTACATCCTGACTAGTTGTCCCGCTTTATTATCGTCTTGGGGCAACAGCCGTGCAGGATGCATATCAGAGGCAACTGTTTGTTGCCTGGGGGCCTTGGGCTGGAAGACTGTATCCTGTGACACGTGAGTGCCTTGCTTGGTGTCTTGGGTGGCTGAGAGGAAAACTCAACACGGAACGCTCGCAGAAAACAAAACAAAAAATGAGTATTTCCGCCTCGAGGACTGCGAGAGTACCTTTAGACAAGCTTCCTTTTCTTAAAGAAGAATCAACTTTCCTGGCCAGCCGCATGACGACTATGGCGCGAGAGAAGCAATGTGTTGGTGTGAAAACACCAAGACAGAAGAATCTTGTCGTCCAAACAGGCATACCCACTTTACCCCGCACACATAACGGGTGAATGCCGAACCGTCAAGTCTTGCCACCACGATGTTCCAAGCTGCCAGACTGCCAAGCTCATCTCATGCAACCTTCGCGCGCAATCTCGCCTATCAATCCCTACAATCCTGGATGCCAACCATCGGCAAGACCTCATCTTGTCATTCGCCAAGCAGACCCTTTCCTAGTTTCGCTGCGATAGTCTGAAGGAGCTCTTGGAAAACCAGGTGTTGAGGAAACAGTGGAATGATTTTTGCCCTCGTGGGTTTCCCCGCGGGGAAAGGCATTAGTGTGCCTCGTGGTGGTACCGTGGCAGAGGACTTGGCCATGGGACCTTCGAGGCGAGGGCGCTGAGGATAAAAGCGCCTCTAGCCCTCTGCTTGAGAAAGCCAACGTCAGGCTGCTAGCCATACCATATACATATTCCTCTTTTGAACACAGCCACTGTCATCTAATAGATGGGTTGCTTCAACACTCATGCCTCTGGGACTTTGGACCCACCTGAGGTCCGCAATTGGCGGATCCACACCATTGCCCTTATCGCTTCCATGTCCGCGCTAGCTAGTAAGTATCGACGGAGAGTTTGAAGATCCAAGGTACTGACAACTGGTACAGTGGGGTATGATACCGCCGTCATTGGTGGCACCATGGCCCTCAACTCGTTCATCCGAGACTTTGGAATGAACGATATTGCCAAGGCCAACCGTGATACTATCCAGGGAAACATTGTTTCCACGTTCCAGGTTCGTGGTTGAGCACCGCATGGCTCTTTACACGCCCAGATGCTGACAATAACCAGGCCGGATGTTTCTTCGGTGCACTTCTCGCGTTCCCTTTCGCCGAGCGTATCGGGCGAAAGAAGACCATGATAATAGCCTCTACTGTTTTTCTCCTCGGCGGCACTCTTATGACTGCCTCGAATGGTAAATTGAACATGATTTATGGTGGCCGTGCCGTAGCTGGCCTAGGCATTGGCGCTTCATCCATGGTAAGCATAGTTCATCCACCCACTTCATGTACGAGTCATACTGACTTCGCCTAGGTGGTACCCGTATACATTTCCGAAACAGCCCCGCCTTCCATCCGTGGCCGACTCGTCGGTATCTTCGAGATTGCATCACAAGGTGGTGGTATGCTTGGGTTCTGGATCAACTATGCCTGCGATCGAACCATTGATGTTAATACCAGGACACAGTGGATTGTCCCACTTGCTGTCCAGCTCATCCCGGGCTTGCTGCTTCTCCTTGGGGTTGCATGGTGCCCCGAGTCACCACGGTACCTTGCAAAGAAGGACAACTTTGAAGGCGCCGAGCGTATTCTGTGCCTGATTCGCGGCCTCGATGAATCGCATGCTTACGTCCAGCATGAGATGAGTGAGATCCGTGCCCAAGTCGAAGAGCGCAGTGCCAACCGCCAGAGCAAGAAGGCCCAGTTCATGAAGCTCTTCCAAAAGGGTGTCCGCAATCGCATGGCGATCGGACTTGCTCTCATGTTTTTGCAATCATTTACAGGGGTGGGTACATGAAAAATGACGTGTCTAGGTGATGTAACGCTGACATGTCCAGGTAAACATCATCACCTACTACGCACCCCGCATCTTCGAGACACTGGGTATCTCTGGTACATCGCTCAAGCTCTTCTCTACCGGCTTTTACGGAATCGCGAAGACGCTTGGTATGTTCACTTTCACCTTTATTGTCGTTGAGAAGGTGGGACGTCGCAAGGGTTTGATCTGGGGTGCCGCTCTTGGATGTATCCCAATGTGGTATATCGGTGGCTACGTCATGAAGGCGGATCCAGCTGCAGCCGCATTGAGAGGGGATGTCTCGCGAAACGCGTGGGGTTACCTTGCCATGGTGTGCGTGTACATCAACGCGTTCATCATCTGCGCTACATGGCAAGGAATCACCTGGACCTATGCATCCGAGATCTTCCCATTGGACATTCGCATGCTCTGCGTCTCTCTCACTACCGCCGACACCTGGCTTGGTTCTTTCATCATTGCGCGAAGCACTCCGTACATGATTTCTGATCTGGGTTACGGCGCGTACTTCTTCTTCGCCTCCATCCTGGTTGGAATGGGTATTTGGAGCTTTTTCTTCGTACCCGAGACCAAGGGTATCACTCTCGAAGAAATGGACGCGCTCTTCATGCGCCCCATTCACAAGGCAGTATGGGCACAGCTCCGTGGCAAGCCTATCCTGACCGAGGAGGTTGTAGCAAGGCATAAGGGATTAGAGTCTGTGAAGGAAAAGGACTTTGGCGTCGAGACAATAGAAACCGTCAGGAGGTAAGACAGAAGAACGGCGACCATTGAAGCAGGATCTTCACTATTTGGCAAGGCTTCTCATAGCTTTTTGGTCGCCAAAAGGGGTCGAATGCGAGTCCGTCAAAACTTGTACGGTGTGAATCAACATCATTCTGACTTCAACTCTGCTGCTCTCTTGCTGTGAATCTCCCTTTGTCAAGTCTTTCTAGCCTCCGTCCCGCAAGCCTTGCAGTCTATCAACTGGATGGCGGAGTCTAGCTCAGTGCCATGACTTGCGGCGTTCTTGGTATCGCGTATTCCGCCTCTTGGCTTTCCGCCCTCCTGCATAGAATTGTTGCCGTCAGCCGCTTCCTGCACCTTTCGGCATCATTTGTACCGCCGACTGGAGCGGAGATCCCGCCGAGGTCATAAGACCCTGTTTCAGCGGATAGTTAGCCGAGCGGGGTGGTGGTATCTGGTTATTGCATAATGTTTTCCGAGAGGTCTGTGCTCAAGACGATTGGTCACTTCTGAGGGGTAAGAAAGTCCTAGCTGGGTCGGTTGTATGTAAGAGGCCATTGGATTATTCGACGCCGAATTGGTCGAAGGCACTGCAGTTTCTTTCCCGGTCGCTATTGCGCTCAAGAGATAGTGCAAAGTTGGAAAAACGGGTTTGAGTTTAACAAAAATATCTTAACTTGTGCCAAAAGGATAATGCTGTCCCAGCACGATACACACTACTTATAACAGAATATACAACTGTACCGTGGCGAATATGCACCATAGCGTATGTCTTTAGAACTTAAAATACACCTTATCAGATGGCAAGAGCTTTCGACCTGTTCATCCACGCACAGTCGGGCAAAAACAGGGATAGGAGATCATGAGCATAAGTAAACATGACGGGAACGTGGCGAATAAGCGCAGGATCGGGAACAAGGGGGTGTGCGGGTGGGGCCGAATAATGCGGCAATCCGATCGATAGCCAATACTACCACCTTCTTCAGAAAGCAGAGTTTAAGAGTTTGTGGTTATTGAAAAAAAAAATCAGCATGATATGGTTGAGAGTACTTTGTAGGTGCCTTATACCACGCGCGCTTATGATTCCAATGGCTTTGCGCCCGCAAGCTGACCAGCACGCGCAATCACCACATCTTTCAGTGGCTTATCCCCTGGTCCAGTCTTTGTTGATTCGATCATCCGAATTACATCCATGCCTTCTAGTACCTCACCAAAAACAACATGTTTTCCGTCGAGATGTGGCGTGGCAGTAGTGAGAATAAAGAATTGCGATCCGTTGGTATTGGGGCTAGGACATAGTTAGCATGTATATAAAGAAACACAATGTAGTGGCATGCTCACCCAGAGTTTGCCATGCTCAAAAGCCCAGGGTGTGTATGCTTGATGTGGAAATTCTCGTCGTCGAACGAGTCGCCGCCGAATATACTGGCGCTTCCAGTTCCGTCACCGTTGACGAAATCACCGCCTTGGATCATAAAGTTGGGAATCTATGCCGCGGTTAGTTTCCCCCCCCCCTCCTTCAATCGATCTCCCATGTGCTCACATACCACCCGATGGAAAGTACTTCCTGCGTATTTTCCGCATTTGCTTTCCCCAGTGCAAAACTGCCTGAAGTTCTCCGTCGTCGCAGGAACCACGTCAAGGAACAACTCCATGTGCACGCGCCCGACTGGCTGCCCTCCGATAGAAATGTCAAAGTATACTACTGGGTTATCAGGAGACCTTCGTGCTTCAACAGTCTGGCCTTTTTCCGTCAAGTTGCCGCTTTCGTCTTGTTGTGCCCATGTATGTGAGTCTGCTGGGCGTGCCATTGGCGTGGAGTCGCCAGTGTTTTTCTCTTTACTGCCTCCGCAACCCATCTTTGTAAGTTTGTCGTCGTTCTCTCGGAAAATGTTGAATAACGTTGCACTGTTCGTAAGTAAAGGGTAGAATGAGACTGACAAAATAATGTGTGCGAGGAAGATGGGAGATCAGGGAACTCAAGCTGGACATGATGATGACGGCATCAGCCACTGATGGCGTTGTTAGCCGCATCTCAGGCTGCAGATTCAGCCATAGCCTGGGTGAAATGACCTCATTTACAACTTTCTTCTTTTCCAGGTGGAAAAGCATTCTTGCAGGTACAACCATGTTGTACTTGATATGTAAATTTCTCTACAAACATCGGGGTTGGGATAAGCTACTATCTGCTGTATCCTCTACTTTTTTTTTGAACTGCCTAAAACGCCCATTGCTCTAACCATTTCTTTACTACACCCTCATCAACAGCCTTGCCCTGACGCAATGCTTCGCTCACAGCTTCGGTCCTCCTTGTTTCCAATTCTGGCAATCCCACACCAGTCTCTGGCCGTAAGCCCTGGTAGAAGTCCAGCAATTTCACTCCGGGGATACGCTCTGCGTTTTCCTTGGTCTGAGGGATGTTTGCAAGCTCATCCACCCAATCGTTGTATTCAACAACCTCCATGTCGACGTTTGCTTCCTGTTTGAAGAAGTCCTGGATAACCGGATATAGCTGGCTCCATGTCGTAGTGTGTGGATTGGCCAGATGATACACTTGCGCAGGTTCGTCTTGGGAATACGTGGCGGTAGCTATGTCGATGACGGCTGCAGCCGCAGTGTCCATGCACACCCAATCCACTCGCTCCATGCTACCCAAATTGCGGGGCAATTTTCCAATCATCTTGCTTGTGTGCACTATAGTCGGCAACCACTCATGCCGGTTCCATGCTGCACCGCCTGCTTGTGTACTTGGTCCTGCAAGCTGACCCGCGCGCACAATAGCAGTTCTGATGCCTAGACGGTGCGAAGCAGTAGCCAGAATCTGCGAGGATACATACTTGGATTCACCATAGCCTTGTGGTAATGTAATAGCGCTGTCAAAGAGTGTGGTGTTGGATTCGGGCACACCACATCCATCCTGTGCGACGCTGCCCCAGTTGCCCACACTCGCAATCGATGAGATGAAGACAATGGAAACATTGTGACGTGACACAAGCGCAAAGTCGATAGCGCGACGAGTACCGGCTATGTGGGTATGCTCGTAGGACTCTAGAGACAGATTGAAATCGACGGGCCAGGCAGAGTGAATAAATGTTGTCGTAGTATCGAGCAGCCGTGCGTAAGTAGCCTCCTCAAGGCCAAACCTGTCTTCAGCAAATTCTGTCTTCAGAAACTCGGCCTTGCTAAGGTCAATCTCGGGATTGTGATACTTGGAGAAGGCTTCCTTTTGCCGTACTTCCGCGTTGTCCGAGCGATTAAGACAGTATACCTTTTCGATATCTTTGTTGTTCAGCAGTTGTTCAAGCACGTGGGTGCCAAGACTTCCAGTAGATCCGGTCAGGATTACGGTTTGCTTGGACGGTGGTTGCTTTGGTGCCCCCTTCCTATCCTTCGGTCGAATCATACCCTGCGTATACTTCCTGACCATGGCGCTCAACTTTTCTTCTCGAGTTTGCTTAGCCATAGGATTGGAACCTGAACTCAGAATCGCCTTAGATAAAGATCCGGCGAGTTTTGTGATTGTGGGGTTGGTGTAAATTGTCGATGCAGTGACGTTGGCACCCCTTACAGCCTTGTTCAACGCGTTGATGAGTGCCAATACGTCAAGCGAGTCAACCCCTAGGCTAAAGATGTCGGTATCATCAGTAGTACCCTCGTGGAATGAGGCCAAGACCCGCGAGAATACGTTGCGTATTGTTGTGAGTAGCCCCGTGTCACTGGCGGTGTCTTGTGTTGTGTCGCTCGCGTATCCTTCATCAGCATACAAAGCCTCAATCTCATCTTTAAACGCTGCGACTGTCTGGAGCCGTATTATAGACCCTTTGGCAGCGCGTACAAAGGCCTTTTCTTTGCTTATGACAAAAATCTTGCTCTGGTAGATGCGTGCATGGGCTGGCGCATCACGGTTCGCTTGTTCGACCATTGGCCAGATGTCATCGATGAGAGCCGGGGCGTCAGTAGTGCTGACCTGTGTCCAATCCGGCTCGATGAGAAGCCCCGATTGGAACCTGCCTTGGCCTACGACGACAGCACCTTTGACCCACGGGTGTGACTCGATCAGCTTTTCTGTTAAGACGGGGTTGAACTTTTCGCCGTTGCTGAGAACAATAATGTCGTCTCGTCGTCCACTGTATTTCCAGAGAAAGGGTTTGGACGGGTGACGCCGAAAGAGATCCTTGGTGCGCCATTCCTTGATGTCGGAGAATGTGTGGAAAATGGCCTGGTATTTGGTGTCCTTGGGCTTGATAACGAGCTACCGCGTTGAAGACAATAGGTTAGTGTATGTTTGGAGATTTCTTGAGAGATATCTTGTACTCACCTCAAACAGGTCGTCACCGGCGGGTTCCATGTCGACGCCTACAGCTGCGGCCCAGTGAAAATAGGCCCAGTCGGTTGGTACAGATGTTTTCAGTGTAGGTAGGAACAATGCCTCCGTACTGCCTATGATAGTGTTCAGGTTTGTCACACGACAAATCTTGTTACCGTTCTCGACGGCAAGAGGAGCACCACCAAAGAAGACCGATTCCAGTTTCGCCAAAGCCTCCATACCTCGGGACGTTGCACACATATCCTCTAGGATGGATGGTGGAAAGACTGCTGTTACGGGTTTGACGGTTTCTATCACTTCCATGACCAAATCCGCACTCAGAATTCTATCGGAAGGTAGTTGCACGATCGGCCTACCACACATGGCTGTGCCCAAGATGATGAGTACCCCTAGCGCGTGAAAAAAGGGTGCAGCAGCGAGCATAGGCTTTTTATCTGCTAGGAATGACCTGGTAACTGGTTCAATGCCACCTTCATCTCCAAGTTGACCTTGCTCGTATATAGAGTTCAACCCGCCGACGGTCAGCCAGATAGGTTTTGGAAGACCTAATCTGTTGTCAGTAAGGGTGTTTTGTGCAGAAATAGTAACTGTTGAGAAGCCTTTTGCTTACCAGTTGAGCCTGAAGTGTGTAAAATCAAACTGGTGGCGTTGACATCGTGAGAATGTCTACCGTCATAGTGCTCAGCGGGTTGATTAGGATCAAAAAGGTCGTCTGCTGTAGGCGCCTGATACACTCTCAGATCAGGCACTGCAGTTCGGATCAGCTCGACTAGCGGCACAGTCTCGCTTGTTGTTAAGAAAATGCTACAGCCTGTTTTCTCTACAAGGGACTTCTGGCCATCTAGCGAATTCCGAGGGGATGTGAACAGTGGTACGTAACCAGCCTTGAGACTCGCGGCCATTACTACCAAGTATCTCAGGTCGTTGGCCCTAACACGGTGTTTTAGTCTTCTAGAATATCCATTTGATACTCGGTCATGTTTTCACGTACCCCATGTATCCAATTGTTTGGCCCGTCTGCTGTGCCACGCCGCATGTCTTTTCAATCCAGCGAGCCATGTTGTTGACCGCGCCCGCCAAGTCCGCATATGTGATTCGATTCCATGTTTGTTCCCCAGAAGAGTTTGAACGCGGTACTATGGCCCAGGTTGAATCGGGGTAGGATTTGAGTGCTGCATCAATGTGATCTGGCACTGCCATCTGCTGTTGTGGGCATTGCTGTGTTGCTGCCATCTTTGGCGGGATTATGTCTACTGTTTTACGCTTCAGTAGGGCAATGGCAACTTGGGTTCAAGTTGGAAAAACGGTGTGAGTAAACAATAAAGAATAAAGGCTCCTATTGTATGCAGGTACGAAGTGAACGGTGGCTTTGGTTTTTTTCAGCTGCTGCGCAAGACCGGCTACATATACGTATCCGGGAGGCAAAAGTACTTTCAGCATGTCGCTACAGCGCAAAACAAACCCGTGCATATTTCGTCACTTTTGATCGGATGCACGTCCTGGCGCTATGCCGACTCTTCTCCGATATAGTTAGTGGAGACGAGGCATATACGTTGCACAACCCACTATGGTGGATCAGACCGTAAGAATGAGTATTGGCTGGCTTCTCTTAGTATCTCCCATCAAAGCCGATCGGGTTCGCGCCTTGATATTATTGGTGGCGTACTACTTTCTGCATATACATTAGTTAGGTTATGTTGTTGCAAGACGTTCGACAGGGATGACGCAACAGCAGGATCCTTGCGCACATCATCTCGGCCGAAGAATATTCCCGGCCTTTTGACGTCGAGAGACGGTACCAGTCTAGGAGACCATCCCAGTACCAATATTACCATGTTTGCGCTTTAATTCCCGTCGGATATAACATCACTATAGTGGATTTTAATGGAACCCGGGTAATGCCCAGATCATAAGGGCTCGGCCGATGGTCGTACTTGGCATCTAGCGTTTGAGATCGTCGGCACAAGTGCCAGACTACGTACAAGATGGTTACAACATAGAGCTTTGACAAATCGTTTTGATTGGACGTCATGTGTAGTGAGCAGAGTGTCCTAAGAGGCGACTTCAGCTGCTATCATTGATGTGCGAAGTCCACCGCCACCTATGCGCCAAGGCTGCGTCGGTGTCACGACAAGAAGAATGACTGGCCACAATGCGCAAGCCACTGCATGAACGCCATGATCTTCCTTGGTTTGCTTTTTGCTCGCTATCCTCTCTAGGTTATCATCATCTGTTCAAAGTTTAAGGAAGCTCGCCATGCCATTCTAGACCGAGATGCCCGGCGAATACGTAAGCTTTACTTCAACCGAGTCAACACATGCGTGGTGCAACGTATAATACTAACAGCGATTTCGGTATTTCCGCCCAAGAGCGGAATGAAAAAAGCAGCCATATCCGTGCTGTGCATCTGACGGTATTTCTTTTTTCGGCACTCAGCTACTGAAAAGGAGGGCAGCTCGGTGATATAGAGAAATTGGGGAACCCGGCAATGTCGGGCCCCGCAAATACTCACGTAGTTAGCCTATGTATATCCGTTGAGGGGTGCTCGAGCTCCCAAGGATACCTGGCAAAGACTGTGCCCTTTGCCAGATGTCATTCAACAAAGCGCCTTGCTATTTCTTCAGTGACACTCCCCGCTCCTTGCCCGTTTTCTAGAGCGGAAATGTACGTATGCAGCATACTGGAACTCAATCTGCGTATACAACAGACCATATATAGATCCTTATCGACGTATTGATAATATGTACTGTGGCAAAGCAAATGCAAACAATATTGCGTGGTGAAAAGCGACGAATCTCGAGAAGAGCTTGATGTAGATATTGACATGATTTCACAGCCTTCGGATGTCGTGGCCCATCCGATAACATGTGACATGGTCTACATACGTCTGTGAGCTCATCGTCGTGCTCCAGACTAGTCACCCTGCTCCAGATAAACAAGAAACGATTTTGCCAGACTTTTTCAACGACATTCAGTACCCATTATTTCAATCTAGTGGCAGCGACATCAACCCTAATCACCGTTGTGTCGGCATCCTGGTCGTCGATTCCTGTAAGCCTTGCTCTACTAGTCCTCCCCAGATTGACAACCTAAACGGATAGCTGTCGAAACAAAGAATATGATGGTATTTCCCACTATGCTATGGCAAATGATATACAACAAGGTCTTCCAAGTATCATTAACTCAATTAAGGGCTATATCGCGAGAAAATCGTCATCTAACCTCGCCGGGCTGGTATCCATGATTCAACGCCAATCAAGCCATGCACCGAGGTGCCCAAGAAATCGAGTCGAGCAGACAGTGTAAACACCAGAACCTCCCTCCCTCTGACGAATAAGCGCAAGTTCTTCCACTGCTTTGGCTTCCCAATCGCTCGCTGGCGAACCATTGACAACATGTGGCTTAGTCGACGCCTTCGACTTTTCTTAAAAATTCTCTGACACGGCCCACTTCGACGCCTTCACCTTCTTCGCTATCCAAAGCTGCCACTAGTCCTTCAAGGCACTCTTCGATCCGAGATTCCTCCACCTTTGTACATAGACTGACCACTTTGCGATACATCATCTCTAGCTGTCCGTCCTTCTCTTTCAACATTCTACTGCGCTTCAGGAGCGCATTGTTCGTTGTCGTGTAGGTCTCGAGCCGTTGCCGAAGGACCGAAGCGGCAGGTAGTTGCACAATGAAGCTCTGGTACTGGGGCTGGTTCGACACTCGTCCAAGCGTTGCGGAGTCTAAAGGTATTGAAGTCGACAAATAAATGGCGCCGTCTGAGGCGCGTCGATCCAAATGGTCTCCAGCTTGTCGGACTTCATAGGGAAGATCGTCTTCCTTGATGAGCAGGCCTGCACCCTCGGCGTCGGCGTAGCCAATTCTCTTCTTGTCGTGCAAATCCGTGGCACCGGCATTGACTGAAAGCATGTGTCGTTGAGGCTCTAGCCAACGCTTGAGGTTCGATATCCGCTTGGCGCGGTCTTGTCGCAAAAGTAAGCGAGCACGAAGCGATTCAAGCTTCTGTTGCTCTTGCTTCTGCTGACTGGAGAGTTGGGTAATGTGGTCATTTGTTTGGTCGATGGCGTCTTGTTTCAGGCGCGCTTCCTGTGTAAACTGCATAGACGCGGACTGGAGGATTCCGCTCATGACTGAGTGAGAGTGTTTTGTTAGCGTACTGCTATCAAGTAAAGCCACATGTGTATACTCACGAGGTTGGATTTCTCGGCTAGTTTCCTCGACTTTACTCAACGGTGCCTTGCCCTTGCTCGGGCTTGTTGCTGTGATGAGAGCCTCACCGTCACCCAGGTCATTGCCAACACCAAAGTCGATGGGTCTTGTGCCCTTGTGGTTTGGTATAGTGGGATCCGCCTGGACTTCCATCAGTTGGGAGATGATGTTGCGGTTCCCTATCCTCGCTGCCAGGTTTAGCGCAGTGTTGCCGGCTTTGTCTCGTGCGTTGACCATTTCCTGCATAAATCTCATCAAGCCTATTGGTTTTGGGTAATTGGTCGTGTCGTGGAACGAGGGTATTTGGCCACCACCAATGTTGCTTCGGACAAGATACTCAAGAAGGGCTTCGAGGTAATATTTGCTGGAGGCTGCGCGGCCTTTGATGGCACACGTGACAGCAATGTGGTGCAGAATCGTCCTGCCTTGGGAGTCGCGTAGCTCGATGAGGGGCGCAAGGATTTCAAGCGTCTCCGGGAAGCAGCTATGATCCAGACTGTTGTTGACAGAAACAGCGCTCATCAAGGGGGTTTGGCCAGAGGCGTTTCCGCGGAACATGTTTGCGCCTTTGGATACTAATAATCGCATGAGCGAGACACGAGCTAGTGTGGCCGCCCAGTGCAGTGCCGTATTTGACGTGTTGTCAATGGGCATGTCGAGATCGGCGCCCGACAGATGTAGTAGGGCTGGGTGATTGGTGAAATCCGACCTGGTCTGATCGGCGAACAAATCAGTCAGCATGGCCTGCTTCTCTTCATTCTGCTTGGTGTCTGGGTGTGGCAGGGGCGGCAGGGCGGTCGGGGCCTCGCCGTCGGGAAGGGTAATGCGCTGCCCTGTCTGGTGCTGATAGAAGCTCTCGCTTGGCTCGGTGGGCGAGCCCAAGTCACGAACAGACATGTCTGCGGGGTTGGGCTGGGAAAGTGTTTCGTCGTGCGAGGCTCGCGCGCGTTTCCTGGGCGGCTCCTGGGGCTCCTCGATGCCTGTGCCGTAGGCGGAGTCGGTGTGTCCATTCTGCGCACTGAAGCTGCGTTCCGAGGTAAGGCTCTGTTGGCTGCTTGTGCGAAACGATTCCTGGCTGGCGAGTGGGCCCTGCGACGGGCGCGCCATACTTCTGCGCCCCTGCGAGGCTGAGGCGGGCCGCGGGGCAGGCGAGTTGAGGCGGGCGACCTTGTTCATGGCAGCCAGGGCGCTCGTGGCGGTGGACGAGATGTTGCTGAAAAAAGTGCCGCCGACGCTCTGGCTGGTGGTGCGGCCGTCCATGCTCTGGGTGTAGAAGCGTTTCCGGTTGGCGGCCATGGCCTGCTCCTTGGTTGGCGTCTCGATGCCGTGGCCCGGACCCTGGTTGCCGTCGACGCTGATGTCGTAGTCGAGAAGGGGCCGCAGGACGTCTTCGACGCCGTATTGGCGACAGAACTCTCGTCCGCGGCGGTAGTTGATCCAGGTGCCCTGGTACTTTCCGTAGCCGCCCTGCACCTTCTCATGCTCGCCGGTGAGAATCTCCTTTTCCAGCACCTTTGTGCGCTTGCCCTTGTCGACGCCGGCAACCTTGAGGATCTGGGTAGCGTTGAGCCAGCCGTCGGAGCGGCGGCGCATGACGGCGACGCGGTTCACCTCCATCTCGTAGACGGACACGCCCGAGTAGACGGCCTGGCTGGTTAGTCATGGCGGGCGCGGGAGGGGGGCGGCGTGCTTTGTGCAGCGAGGGGCGTACCGTGTAGATCTGGGGCTTGTCCATGGCGTGCTGCTGGAAGCCGGCCATGTCGGAGAAGGACCGGTTGAAGCCGGCGGGGGCAGCCATGAGGCCGTGGGCGTGGGGGGAATTGGCATACATGGCGGGCGGCTGCTGCTGGGGCGGCGATGCAGCGGAGAACGAGTGCGACGTGCGCGCGACTTGCATTATGTCAGTGCAAGGCTGGCGGCGGCGGTGGTGGTGAATGCGCGGCTCAGGCGACGGTCATGGGGGCAGCAGCAGCGCAAGGGAGGGGAGGGGCGGGGCGAGAAGGGGGCGGGCGGCATGCGCTGCGCGGCTTGTTGTTGTGGGTGTGGGTGTGGCGGTGGTGGTGGTGGTGGTAGTAGTGGCAGCGGGCGCGGGGCGGCGGGGACTGTCGGGCGGGTGTGCGTGTGTGTAGTCGCGATATGGCGTAGTGTTGGAGGCGCAGCGTCGGGATGTGGATGGACTGGATGGACGGGGGGGAGTGAATTGCCCGTCGTTGTCTGGAGCGAGTGGAGATTCGCGTCCTCACGCGTCGGTCGCTTGTGCGCCCGCCGGCCAATCACAGCGGCCCGCCACCCCTCGCCCGCACGGCCGACCTTCACTCCACCACCATGGACAGCAGACATTCCCCCCATTCCCCCATTCTCCCATTCTCCCATTCTCCCCCCCACTCCCGCTGCATACAACCGCCATCTCGTCCTGCATGCGCCAGCCGCTGCATCTGCTGCGCGCCCTCCTGCGCGAAGCCTCGTATCTGCCCGATGCCACTGCGCGCGCCTACTTCCGCCGCTACATCGTCGCCCGCTTCAAGGCCTACCAGCCCCAACACCATGCAACCGCCTCTGCCGCCGCCTCCGCCGTCGCCCGGTACAGGCATGCCGCCTTCAAGCGCCGCCCGCCCGCCCTCATCCACGCCCGCGCCCGCCCGCTGCTGCGAAAGGCGCACAAGGGCCTGAATTTCCTGCGCCGCGCCAACCACGGCGAGCTGCCCTGCCTGCACAAGGTCCTCTTCTTTGCCTATGGCCGCCTGGGCCGCCGCAAGTACGCCCTGCTGGCCAGCCTCCTCAGGCCCGACGCTGCCATGGACGGCGACGCCCGCCCCAAGCCGCTGCAGAAGCTCTACCACAGCACCAGCCGCTACCTCGCCTTCTTCGACGCCCCCGTGCCCGCCTCCAAGACGCACTACACCATCGCCATCTCGCACCGCTTCGGCCGCCTGCGCGCCGTCCTCCGCTCCCAGCACCAAAAGGGCCTCGCCATCCACCGCGAGCTCAAGGGCCCCGCCATGAAGACGCCCATCCACAACATATGGGAGCGGCCCATGCCCATCAAGCGCGCGCGCAACAATGTGCGCCGCTGGTATGCAGAGACGATGACGAGATTGCTGCCGCCTCTGCCCAACGACGAATGGGACAGGGTGCATGCCATGATGGTCGGCGACCAGCCCATTGACTTGGTCAAGCGCAGGACCCGGACCGCTGTCTTGGAGCCTGCGCCCGCCGCCCACGCCCACGCCCTCGCCCTCGCCAGCACCGTCAACGAAGCCATGGCCCTGGACAAGCCTAGCAGAGCCGACAGGCCCGCTGGCATGCAGCGCCCGCATGCCATCACGCCCAAGTTCATGCGACGACTCTACACCAAGCTCCTCGTGCTCTGCTGCAAGCTCGATTACAATGACCAACTCAAGCAATGGAAAGTCACCTGGGGCACCCCCAACAAGACCATCAAGCCCAGTCTCTACCATGCGCCCGTTGACCAAGACCTCTTTGCTGGCGTCGATGCCACGGGACGCGTTCCCAAGCCGCCCAAAAAACATGCCCTCGACAAATCTGCTCACGTGCAGCCCCGCAACGCCGACGGAGAATACATGCGCTTCCCCTTTTTCGCCGAGTTTCTTCCTACAACCAACCCGCTTCGCAAAGAATTGGACGAGTGGAAAAGGAAGCGAGCTGCTGCTGCGGCTGCGGCTGGGCGCGCGCACAAGGAGAAAGTGTCGTGAGCGGGGCCCCAAAACAGACATGGATGTAGCCCACCCAGTCGCCTACTTGCTAGCCCCGCAACGCGACATGTAGGGCGTGTATTGCTCGCTGCCATAAAACCCAGGCATTGGCCCGACATTCGCAAAAACACTAGCAACATTTTTTTTTATTTAGACTCCTACAATGGCCTCAAGCAGCGCAACAATCCGCCACGCACGTCGCCAAGGTACAATTGAGCATTTGTTTCTCGTCAACACACACTGACGTGCTCGTAGACGTGCCGACCATTCTGGCCCTCGTATGCGAACTTGCCGAATACGAATCAGCCAGTGACAAGGTCGAGGCTACCGAGGAGATCCTCACGCGCACCCTTGCGCACTACGACCCCTCTACCGCTACATTCTCCGAGGGCTTCGCTCGCACGCTCCTCATCACCGACCCCGACGGCACGGTAGCAGGCATGGCCCTCTATTTCTACAACTACAGCACCTGGACTGGCGTCCCTGGCATCTATCTCGAAGATCTGTTTGTCAAAGAGAGCTACAGGAAGAAGGGCTATGGCAAGAGGCTCCTGAAAGAGCTTGCTGCAGAGGTGCTCAAGGTTGGGGGCGCGAGGCTCGAGTGGAGCTGTCTTGATTGGAACGAGCCCAGTCTCAATTTCTACCAAAGTGAGGTGATTGGCGCCAAGAGGAAAGATGAATGGGTGGGATTGCGCGTCGAGGGAGAGGCTTTGACCAAGTTGGCCCAGTCGTGACATAACGTCACAGCCAAAATACATAGGCTCGGCAGCTTATGAAAACATGTCTTGTTGGTCCAAAACTATTGGCTCTTGACCTTGAGAGGACTGACCCCTACGCGTACAGCCTCTGCGTTCAGAGCGTCAATCTCGGCCTGGACCAGCGGAATACCCGTCGCTTCTCGCTCCTTTTGTTGCAACTGCTCGAGCTCGCCAGGAAAGTAGATGCGATGCACACCGGCAGCCTTGTCTGCACCCACGACGCGGCCGTAGAGATACTGCATGCGATCCCTGAAGTCTTGCAGGCTCATGAACAGGTCGGGCTTGATTGCGACGAGGAAATGGCCCACGTCAGATGGCTTGGAAGGGTCGTATGGACCTGTGACGTCGCCAGCAAAGGCGGATCCAGACAGCACTCCGGAGAAAACGTCCATCATGATGGCCAAGCCCGAGCCCTTGGGGCCACCCATGGGAAGCATGACGCCTCCATCAAGCGCTGCAGCAGGATCCGTCGTGGCCTGGCCGTCCTTGTCCAGTGCCCAATCCGATGGGATCGCCTCGCCTCTCCTCTTGGCCTTGTAGATTTTGCCCCTTGCCGCCACCGACGGCGCCATGTCGAGAATAAAGGGCGTGTCTTTTCCAGGCGCGCCACACGCAATGGGAGATACGCCCAGCAGCTTCGATTTGCCTCCCCATGGCGGCAGGGCAGGGCTGGAATTGGTGAAGACCAAGCTCATCATGTCGGCGTCCAATGCCTTTTGCACAATCCATGCACTCATGCCAAAATGGTTCGAATGCTTGATGCTCGTCATGCCTATGCCGTAGACCTGCCACACAAATCGTCTTAGTCTGGTGCTCTTTGCTCGCGCATAAGTTGAGTCGTAATACGATACGGCACGGGTCAATTCACCTTGGCAGCCTCAATAGCTGCCGCCATGCCCATGTCGGCAGCCACAAAGCCCCACCCATTGCGCCCATCCACCTGCGCTACCACGGGCGTCATCTGCCTGATCTCTGGCCTTGCCGAGCCGTCCAAGACGCCCTGGCGAACACGTTCCAGATACGACGGAATGCGGTTCATGCCATGCGTGTCCACGCCGCGCAGATCGGCTGCGATCAGGCACCGTGCTACAATGTCGGCATTGTCCGCACTTACGCCGTTGGCCACAAGGACCTCCCGGACGAATTGCTCGGCGTCGTTGGCTGCGACAAACATCTTGCTGTCTGGGGTGGGTTGGGCCATGGCTGCCTGCAATTGACCATGTACAAGGGGGGAGGGTGATGGAAAGAAGCTTCTTTGCCGGAAATTGGATTCAAAGGGTATAGTATGATGCTGCAGAGAGTGACCTGTTCATGTGCGAGGATACCTTCAGGCAACAAGGTGACTCAATGCCATGGATACTTCGGGTTAGGTTTCTGCCGAGACTGCACATCGCATCCTACTACTTGGTGCACAGGCCACCCTTTCCACTTTTCCTAGACATGGTGGAGGACTAGAAGTGGACTCTCGCTATCCATGTATTCCTAGTCGGACATGTCCACTCGAATTCGCGTAAAAATCATACCAAAATACACACATCGATCAATTGCACGTCTGGGCCACCATCACGTTTTCTAATCATGTCCAGCTGCAATATCGCAGTGCAACAAACAGAAATGCTACTAAATGAGCACTGGAAGTGCTAGGAAACTGTGCCAAAGAATAGAGCAATAACAAGGAGTTGTAAAGCTAGATGGAGGACACGACTTGTACCATTGCGCCCACCATCTCGCCCTCCCCACGACATGATTTCGAAATTCTGGGCTTTTGAACCCCTGAAAGAACAGCAGGAAGGCTCTAAGAAAGGCAAAAATAGTCATTTTCCATGCTTGTCCATTTCATATATCACGTCATGATGGCTTAGTAACCAGTTTCCTCTCCTATTTTTCTCCAAACAATGCATCCAACTCTAATAACTCAATACATCCTCAATTTATACACGCCCGACCCCCCACTACCAAGTTTAGTCATCAAAGAGACTGTCCACGCATTGTACATCCTCCACTCTAATAACAGGAAATAGCTCCACATCAGGTTGTAGATAAATTGTACGCAACTCACCGGACCCTAGTCCAACACGACACTCAAAAGTGAATGAGGCAAAATTGGTACCTGAGAAATAAGCCGTGACAAGCGCAGAGCTTGAACCAGGAAGCAGCCCGCGATCCCCCACTAGCCAAGTCTTACCTTTTTGGATCAAAACTAGTCTAGGAAGACATTGCGTTGTGAGACGCACTCGAAATGAAGAAAATTCTAACCGTTGCCCCTTGCATGTGCGGCGATGATCCCCACTTGTGCAACAATGTGACAATGACCGCACAAGAGGTACCTCCCATGGCAAAAGCGCACAATTCCGTTACTAGAGCACGTAACGTGACTCCACCAAGTAAGATGAGTGGCGTGAGGTGCTCCACCATCAAACAAGCAATGTAGATAACAGGGACAACACGATGTACGTAGAGAAATAGGAATGGCTGGGAATATCGACCAGGTCGAGTTGTAAGTAAGCTGAGAAAGCAAATGCTGCTGCCAAACACAGTCAGAAGTCAAACCTCGCGAACGCCCAAAAGCAGAAGCATGGCAGTGCGAGCTAGTGATGTTAGAATCTGCATGCACATGCATTCGCTGGCATGGTTCGTTGCACGCCTTCCTAGTGCTTACTGGTATTGCCATCTGTGGCGTCTTTTTCGGGTATCCATTCCAACCCTGCATTCACCAAGTACATGGTAGAATGAGAGTCTTTGCTCTTGATATAATCCAACTCTTCTACGATAAAGCAAGACCGGAATTCCCATAGCATTTCACCGCCCTCCTTGGAGAGGTACATAGCAGATACGGCATGTGCATGCGACACTTGTGCGTTTGATTAGCGCTTACCTGCAACGGCACCGTGGCATGATCTGACCAGAAGCAACGCAACCCTATGGTTCCCGCACATGATAGTACCAGGCTGATACCTGTAATCAAGATAGCCCTCCATTCAATTCTGCTGCTCTCCAAACCAACCACGCGACCGCAAAGAGATTTCTTAGGCTGAGAAACAGAATAGCACTCGAAACGACTGTCTTGTCCGGAAAGCCGTTTCTACAGCATCCATGGGACCAGACATCTAATAAGATCGAGTAATGTACAAACAGTGCACAAGGCTAAACGCGTTGTTGAGAAGTGGGCGCTATCTGCTGCATGTTTCCTCAAAACTGGATTTTCGGTCTGAGCTAACAGTATTGCTAATAGCCCTGAGTAGCTTGCATCCCAACTGCCGGCAACCTTTGGTGGTGATGACGGCCACGTGACCTGTTCACACTGCTTTGCGCAGTCACTATGCTACGCGGTGCTCTGTTTCCTGGCCCAATCGTCGCGTCCACTCTTCATCTTTTATCCAACCATCCTCGAGCCCTTTTTCTTTCATGTAAAGATAAGAAAAAAGCAGAGCGTATAGTTTTCGCACGTGTTTGGCGGGTATTATATCCCTCATTTTTATATCACTCAAGTCACGTACCCGGATCCAGCCAGGTGGCTGTGCGAGCTTTCACCAGAACTGCTAAATCTCCGAATCCAGCTACTGACCTGTAGTGTCTGCTGTCCTGTTAGCTCAAGCAAACGTGGGGGCTGATTTGGGTGTTTTACTATGAGGCATTTTCTCTGCCGGGTGACGGGGAGGAAAACGCGTTAACCTAGTTGCATACGGGCCGTTGATGACATGACAATTGGGTGTAGCTCCAAACCAACACCACGGGTCGGTACGAGATGAACAATTTTATTCGCTCCTGCCACCAGGTCTAGGCCAGAGCGTCTTTCAGTCGACTATGGTGTTCCTGTCCTATTTGATCGCGCCCAGTCGCAATCCCAGAATCACACCAACTGGCATTCATTTTTTTCTTTCCATTCTTAGGGTGCTCTTTGTGAAGCAAACTGCCGCTCCGTATCGGCGGGCTAGCCCCCCAGCGCACCCTCAGCTATGGTCTCCAGTAAGGGCAACGTTACTGACGAGCACGAGGAGACAGCACCTACCAGAGATGTAAACGACGTCGAGAAGCAAGAGAGAACGCCACACATTGTATGGGAGGATGTCGATCACCATGCGAGGGGCCGTTCAGATGGTAGAGGCATCCGCCGCCCATCGCGCAGTAGAAGCCAAGGTTCCATCTCGAGCGTTCGAAGTCGTGCCCATTCCGTCTCTGGCATCCCTATCGAGTTCCGCACGCTTTCCATCCAAGTGGCCGAGAGCAAGGCCAAAGCAAAAGAGCCGCCATTGAAACACGACGACGATACCAAGAACGAGAATACCAATTACTTTGAGCAACTCGACTACCACATACTGAGTGCGAAGAGCGTCTGCGACCGTTTCAACGTCTTCCAGGAGCAGGGCCTCAGTAAAGAGGCAGCTGCTACACGCCTTGAACGCGATGGCAAAAACGCCATCCCCAGTCCACCCGAGCACATGTGGCGCAAGATCTTTTGGTATGTTTTTGGAGGCTTCTGCTCCGTTCTCTGGATCGGAGTCATCATCTTCTTCATATGCTGGAGGCCTTTGGGAGACCCCAACCCGCAAGCGTACAACCTTGGCCTGGCCATCTTAGTACTCATTGTCATCCTCCTCCAGGCCTGCTTCTCGGCTTTCCAAGATTGGTCGACCAAGCGGACGATGCAGTCAATCCTCGACCTACTTCCCTCTGATGCCATGGTCATGCGTGAAGGCTCCTTTGTCAAAGTCCCTTCTACCGATCTAGTTGCCGGCGACATTGTTCGTATCTCCATTGGCGACAAAGTGCCTGCCGACATGCGTTTGTTGACGTCTTCGGGCGATGTACGGTTCGATCGTTCAATGATAACTGGAGAAGCTGAGGAGATAGACGGCGCGCTCGATTCTACCGACGAGAACTTCCTCGAGTCGCGCAACATTGCCTTCATGGGGACCATGGTGGTCAACGGCAGCGCTGTTGGTATCGTTGTGTTGACGGGAAAGAATTCCGTTATGGGCCGTATCGCGCAGGCAACGTCTGGCGTCGAGGACGAGCCTACCCTTATCCAACGCGAGATTAGCCGATTCGTCTACATTATCGTGTGTTTGACGATATTCCTTGCTCTCTTGTAAGTCTGAAGCCTGGTTCCTGTGTAGAAGAAGCTGACCGTATAAAGACTACTGTTCGTCTGGCTCGGGTGGTTACGCAAAGACCACAAAGGCTTCCTCTCCGTCGTTGCCATGCTCAACAATGTCATGGGCTGTGTCGTTGCATTCATTCCTGAGGGTATGCCCGTTGGCGTGGCACTGACGCTCATGATGGTAGCGCGACGCATGAAGAGTGCCAACGTTTTGCCCAAAGGACTGTCTACCGTGGAGACACTCGGCTGTGTCAATGTCATATGCTCCGACAAGACAGGAACTCTTACAGAAAACAAAATGACTGTTACTTCAATTGGATTCGTCGACGAGCTCAAGTCTGCCGAGGATCTTGCGCCGAAGCTCGCTTCTGAAAACTGTCCAGGGGCTTTGCAGGAGCTTCATAAGGCTGCCATTTTGTGCAACGACGCCATGTTCGATCCCACAACGATTCAACTTCCTGTAAATGAAAGAGCCATCCAAGGCAATGCGACCGACGGAGCCGTGTTACGCTTTGCTGAAGGCGCGAAGCCGGGGCGTTCTGTCCACGACGCCTTCCCTCGCGTCTTTGCGATCCCGTTCAACTCAAAAAACAAATGGATGCTCTCGCTACACGAAGAAGGGCCGAAGTCCGAATCGGAAAAGCTAGAGTTTCTGGTACTTGTGAAAGGCGCGCCCGATGTGCTACTCCCAAAATGCTCTTCCTGGTTGTCATTCCACACGAACACTGTCCAACCATTGGATGCCGAGGCGCGACGCCTTCTATCCCAAGCACAAGAGAAACTTTCGCGCAATGCAGAACGCGTTATCATGCTTTGCCAGCGACGATATAAGCCCGTTGCATCCTTGCGCTCCAACGCTTTTTCGGACGAGCTTACCGAGCACGCTCTAACTGACCTCACCATTATTGGCATTTTGGGCATTCTCGACCCCCCGCGTCCTGAATCAGCCGAAACTGTTGCAACATGTCGCCGAGCTGGTATCAGATTCTTCATGGTTACAGGTGACTTTGGTCTCACGGGTGCCGCAATCGCCCGGCGGATTGGCATCTTCTCTAGTGATAGAGAACCAGATACAATAGCGAACATTGTTGGCCGCGATGACACCAAAGAAGTGGCCAGTACAGAAGCCATGTCCACTAGCTCAGGAAGCCGATCTCTGCTTCTCGAAGGCACGCAACTTGGCGACTTGAGCGACGCTGATTGGGACGCGGTTTGCCAATACGAGGAAATTGTGTTTGGTCGCACAACACCTGAACAGAAACTACGTATTGTCAACGAGCTCAAGAGCCGTCAAAACGTAGTTGCTGTAACTGGTGACGGTGTTAACGACGCCCCCGCTCTTCGTGCCAGCGACGTCGGTATCGCCATTGTGTCCGGTTCTGATGTCGCCCTCGAAGCCTCCGACCTGGTCCTCATGGATAAGTTCTCTTCCATCATCGATGGTATTCGCCTTGGAAGACTCGTATTCCAGAATCTTCAAAAGGTTATTGGGTAAGACACTCAACCGTATAGCAAGACTGTAATTTACTGACGCATTGACACAGATACCTTTTGCCTGCAGGCTCCTGGTCCGAAATATGGCCCGTTCTCCTGAATGTCTTCTTTGGCGTGCCCCTTCCATTGAGCTCTTTCCTCATGATCATCATCTGCGTTTTCACGGATCTCTTCTGCTCGCTCTCTCTTATTATGGAACGTGAGGAGTTTGATCTTCTCTCACTTCCCCCACGAGACACCAAGCGCGATCATCTCATCAACGTCAAGATCTACATTCAGTCGTATCTCTTCATTGGAGTCATGCAGACTGTCTGCGCCCATTCCATGTTTTTCCTTTACATGTGGCGTCATGCAAAGATACCCGCTTCCGCCCTCTTCTTTGCCTACGAAAAGTATACAGACGGTTTCTACGGGTACACCATGGACGAACTCAACCACTTCAACACGGTCGGGCAATGCGTCTACTTCGTCACTCTCGTCATTTTGCAATGGGGCAATATCCTATCTATCCGCAACAAGCGCCTCAGCATCCTACAGGCCGATCCCTTCCGCAAAGACCGGCGCAATCCCTGGCTCGCGGCTGGTATTCTTGTCAGTCTGTGCATTGCCATCTTTGTAACAGAAGTCAAAGGCATACAGAATCTATTCGGTACTGCCGCAGTACCGATAGAGTTCTGGCTCATTCCAATCCCATTAGCACTTGGTATTCTAGTCATGGATGAGATGAGGAAGTTGGCTGTCAGAATGTGGCCAAATGGGCCTATTGCGCGCATCGCGTGGTAATTCCATAGAACTTGGCTTGCTAGATATCCTTGTCTCAGGTAGCAATTCTTTCGTGCACCCAAGTTGAGCGTTTGCTATCCAGCTATAGAGGTCGATAGTAAATGTACGTAGAAAGAATACTATTTTAATCTTGTTATAGAGCCGAGCAGGCGCAATGATAAACACCGTAACTGAAGCTTCCTATGTTCTGTCTGCGATAAGCTGAAATTTCAATGTTGAAATGATAGATCGTGGTTTAAATAGACAGATTATCTGTTCCTAGTGAGAATATTCATTGTATACTTTGCAATGGCCGAATACCCATCTACAGGGACCGACATGCGGACCAGACACTAAAGGGGTACTCTGAATAGTGTACCTTACAGGCCTTGAAAGGAGCGTAGAAACTTCTAATGGACTACAGTATAGAAGGTGATAAGAAGTTAGAGTCTGCTAGTCGCCATACCCTTATACATAGCCAAGCCTTCGATGAGACTCTCAATTATCGCAAGCATAGAAAAAACCAGGCTAAACAGGTATGAAGTGGCACTATTAATAACATTTTGTGTCTTCTTCATAAAAGAGACTAATGTCATAGGGAAATCGATACCATATCTGTGCTTATAAAGGATTCCCTACACATACCAGATGGATGAGAAATATCCTGATTTAGCCCTACAGTCAACAGCTGAAAAGTAAGGTCTTCTCATGTATGCCACTGTTAGGATTGTTACCACCATCCAAGTGGCCGTAGATATCTACATTGCACTCAGGCAAATCAACCGCAGCGATTGGGAGCTGCTGAGATGTTGAAAGGCGGTTTTGCGGAAGGATTTGATTTGAGCCTAGGAAATCTCAGAACGCAGCTAGCAAGACCAATCCTACCTGGATAGCGATGAGGGTCTTAGCAACAGGGTATGTGGTTGCTTAAGGACTGACAACAGGCTGCTAAAGTTGTTATCTATCTTAATGATCACCTAAATTGTTTAGTATAAAGTATAAGTAATGAGTTATGTCTTAACATTAAGCTTTTTTGAACTTAATAGGCAACTACCGCTTGTATTAATTTATAAAAAGATGTATCATTATCAAGTAAGAGACGAATAGTTAGGCAGAGTATAAAAGTAGTTTCTCTTAAGAAACTGATATACTAAAATAGTTTTTAGAGTGCTATCCATATACTCTTTGTGCAATTTACTAAGAATTCTGTCTACTTACATGAATTAAACTTTAATACTACTCTTAATAATACTTTCATGATATTAAAAAGCTTATTGTACCTACTAGGTTGAAAAATAGTATCTCAATATAGGATAGTAGGACATAGATAAGATACGTACTCAAAATTCTGCTGAAGTATGTCTACTAAGAAACTAACTCTATATTACTCATTTACATGATTTAAGTGTTGTTTGGAGATAGAAACAGAATCATTATGAGACTTTCAAGAAAGTTCTAATAGGAGAAACAGCACAAGGTGAAGCACTTGAGTAGAGAGACTCTTTAGAGACGCACCAGTGATATACACTGAATATTACAACTGTTAGCCAGTTGATTCCACGACAGATATACCACTACCACTCTGAGCCCTACTTGCACCCGATGCACTGGATTGGTTCGTCTCAAAATGCGTATCTGGGCACAGACTGTCCTTGCTCCCTTGCACGTCAAAATCACGCTTAACGTGAATATCCCTCGAGTCCGGATGCATCTCGTAGCCTTCGGCTCCCCTCCCTAGATTTGACTGTAGCATGCCAGGGAACAGCCGCATTGCTAAAGGACGCAGAGTCGGGATGCACAGACAGATGATGCCGCAGCCAAGTTCGGCCATACTCCAACAGGCAGCGGCCACGCCGTTCCAGGTAGGATCTTTCGTTACTGCGGCCTCTTTGAGAGTTTGAATGCGTACAATGGAGATAGCGCAAATGCTAGAGAGAGCAGAAACATTGTCAGCAGGTTTGCCATCGCGCAGAAGCTGGAACCAGACTTACAAGAAACCAAGACAGAAAACACCGATCAAAACTCGCTTCTGGGCCTTGACCAGCTGCAGTGTTCGCAACCCAGGTAGCGGAAGGACAAAGATGACAATGTCGCTAACAATATTGAATACCGAATTAATATACCATAAGGGCAGTCTCGGAAAGCACTGCGCTTCAATTGTAACATCCCAGAATCCAGATATTGGTTTGCAGAAAAAGACAGTCAATAAAACCTGGAGTAGACCCCAAAGTGCGACAATCCCAATTCCAATGTTGCATGCTAGCCGCATTTTAGTCCTCAGAAAGACGCGGCGGTACTGCAACAGGAAAGCGATCTTGGTAGCGGTTAAGGCGTGATTATAGAGAATAATTAGAACAAAAAAACACTAACACTGTTAGAACATGGATACTAATTGTTGATAGGGCGGATTTTACTTTCGCATACGCAATCATTGTCTCCACTTGCAGTGTCGCTGTGTGGTATCCCAGGCCGTATCGGGTAGCTAGGCAGATGTAAGAATTAAGGTCTTTGCTAGCACTTGTTGCGCTTACCTAGCGCTACATCTACTCCAGTCGCAACGGTGAGGATCTAGAGTGGGCGAAATAGAGTTAGCACTTTTTTTTTTGTTTTGTAGCGATAAGAATCCTAGTTACCCAAGCTATGAGGGCGGCCCAGTCATCGATCCCTGGGGCATTTACTAATACGCACCGAGCGTAGATGCGACCCGCAAGTAGAATTGTTGCAACACTCAGCAGGCATACCACAACTGCAATTACAGTTGCAGCTTGATTCCCCGGAGCGCCGTTGCTTACAGGCGTGCCCATTGCGTGTTTGGTGTATTAAAGGGCCTATTGAGATATTCAGAGGGTTTGGGAAATGATCATCTTCAAACTTTGCATAGACTGGGTCTGAAGTATTTAGACCTACATGGGGTTTGGCAGGCTGGCGGGTTTTGCAGATCCGAAAGCCACATGAGCTGACACTCTCTAGGAAGGTTTAGTAGGGGCACAGTAGTTCATGGATTAATCGATTGAGTTTCGCTCTAGTAGTTCGGTTCAGGTACGCTAATCTCACCCGTTAGCGTCTGTAAAGCTGACACCACACTACAGCGATAGATACATTTACTTAAAACGTTCTCTAGTAGAAATTGAGTGCTACTAATCTAGTATACAACTGTTTAAGGTGACTAACAATCTTACTATCTGTTTAATTTTCTCTTAGCCTTTAATCACCTCCTATTATCTGATTATACAGTCTACGTATTATTATGTTCTAGTTACTACTATTGATATATACATATTATTTCTTAGAGTAATTCACTATTAGTCTTAGACATAAGTTATTCTATAATAATATTATTTTAATAGTATTCCTAACTACTACTGATCCTAGAGTATAGTAGTTAGCTTGGAGTAGAGCTAGTTTATAAAGAATAGTAGTTTGTAAGTTTCCATACTATGGTAAGTGTACTTTTAGTATGAAATAAAACATCAGCTTAAAGGAATCTAGGGGCGTAGTGGGCATTCTACATCACGGTAGGCGTGCGTGAGATAAGAAGAGGGTTCTGTAATGGCTTGCGGATTTGGGAGAGGCGGCCGCTAGCAGCCCGCCCCATGTCTGATCTTGTAGTTCTGTTTGGGTAGACAGTGTCCCGTGTGCCACTGTGACTTGCATAACGCTAACATGAGTAATGTGAATAGGGGCTGCTAGGCTATATAGAACCTAGCCTAGCAGTAAAATCGCTTAGAGCGCCCATATCATTTGTTGCAAGGAACAACCTAAGGTTCCCCCCTTAATAAGGGGACGAGATTGAGATCTAACATACTGAGCAAGAAAGCGATTGGTGCAGGGTGCGCATGTTGTGTAACTGATATCTCGCTAATGCGTTTCGTAAGCGAACTGATCAGCGCTATCGCGTGTCGTGTGAGGACGTGGCTGATATCTCGGCCCGATATCTCTTGGTACATATGCAAGATTTTAGGGGGTTATTATGAAACTGTAGACAGCTAACTACTGCAAGAATCTCTAATTGTTTAATCTTGTGAAGAAGATTATATTCATTAGTTGGGCGTTCTGTCTGCAGTCTCAATCCATGTATAATATGTGGCTGTTGTAAATTCTTGTGAGATTAGTGCATAACTGTTACTACCGCAGTGGTTTGATGTGAGTGGCCTCCTGTCTCAGCTGGGATGTCTGCAGCGGTATCCTTGTAGTAACTGCGGCAATCTGCTACTCTATTGACACGATATGTACATAATTGGCTGTAACATGCTATTTGCAGAGCTTCTATTTGAGTCAGTATAGTTGTCTTGTCTACTAGATACTTAGGCTCTGTTTGGTTCTCTGTTTTCTATCTCTGACTTGTAAGCTGTTCCAGATTAGCGCTTAGCTAAATATTAGCCCTTACTATAGTAACTAACGTGGTTCACAAGTGAGTCGCTAACCCAAGCGAGTCGCTAACGCCCCACCAGCCCATCAACTTCATCACTATAACGCGTGATGTCTTAACAACGCAACCGTCTATTAATATATTCTAAATCTAATCTTTAACTTGCTCTTTTTAACGTCTATGTTACACGGGGTTGGGCTATACTTCTCTAAGTCTCGATCCGGGTTAGGGCGAGGTAGCAGATCAGCGGTAAGCCGTGTGATTTGTAAGGGGCTCGACCCCGGAGGGTAGTCTTAAGCTCGGGAGCACGATCGGACAGGCCAAGGTAACAAGATTGTATTCGATAGAGAGCTAAGCTCTCGGCTACGTAGCTATCTATATACAATGCTGGTTGCTAGGGTAACAATCGGGCCGGGCAGGTGGAGTAAACGAGGTCGTAGACGAGTATGGGAGGCGAAGGGCGTTCAGCCCGTTACATGATTGCCGAGTAATTCGTGTGGAAAATAGTTATGGATGTTAACCGGTAGTAAAGACAATCAATTCTATCTAGGATAGAATAACAAAGTAACAATCTTGTTAAGTGACAAAGCTTGTAAGAAAGTACAGTATAATGAGTTGACCACAACGAGTGTAATAATGAAATCCAACC